GTATCATATATTTCTGGGTTTTTCAAGTGAAGAGAGCGAAACAACGGGTTAAAATCTCATGCCCACTTCAGCGTTTCACCTTAGGGTCCTAAGCCTAGTTTACAATGGGTCATATGACATCTCCTAACATCAGCTATTGGCTCCTGGTTACCTTTTAAAAAGAACAAGATATGCAACATTTAGCGGTAAATTCATTCACCTTTGATGCATCAAGACCGGGAAGTGGTACCGACATTGCGCTCTGAAGCAAATACTTTTGAGGAGAAGTTTTCCAGGTTGTTCCTCAAGTTTTTGGTATGATAATTTTGTGTGCGTGATTCTGAGCTTTATGCTATTCTGAAGCCAACAGCGTAATAGTAAACATGGTATCTTTAACATAAGAATTTTCGTGCGGATAAGTGTTTGTCCGGTGAATTTGTCTCGAAAGCGTTCCGCACGTCGTTCAGTTTTCCAGTGATTTTGAGAATTGACTCGCATATATGTGAAACGTTCCATCTTAAAAAGCAAATAGGCTTTTGGCATTGGCTGTTACAAGCTGGTACATTTACACGTACAATAGACATATGTCATCACAAGCAACACGTAGATTTACTAACGCGTCGATCAGGAGAGCCCTTTGTTTTGAAAAGTTATTACACTCGATAAAGAATCAAAAGTCATCTTAATGATGCTTGTTCGTCTGTGGCTCAGGGTATGAGTATGCCTTTAAGTTGCAATTGTATCCTGATAATAGGGCTATTCGTTTAGTTTCATTACATGAATTTAGGAGCCGGAACAGGTCCATCACCAGTCCTCTATTATATTCTGTTGCATCAGCGTATATGATTTTGAAAAATGGAATTGTAGACACGTGATTTGAAGGCACATCAAGGACTGCCTTATTACTTTAAGAAAAAGGAGAAACGCTCACTCGAGCCGGAACGAAAGCAACACAACCACCGTTTCGATGACTTCAAGTCATCATTGCTGATTCTAAAAAATATGGAACGCCAACTCGATGACGCTTTTGGCTATGCTCGCGGCAATGCATTTTTCTGGTGTGCCAAATTGTATCCCTGGATGATGGCTCATTCTCTTTTAATCGGTGAAACGCATGTTCGAGTAAGAACCGGTTATTCAATTGTATTGCATCATGTCAAACATCACTACTAACAACGATTTGTTACATGGATTTGCCAAATTTTGAGCATAAAATGCATCCAGCAGTATCTATTAATATAGAATTTAAAACACCTCGAGTTTTTTGAAATATTAAAGTGAATACAGTTATTATAAGGATATATCTAGATTAATATTTTAAAATGAAAATGAACAGAAAAAGGTACATGCAGGAGCCCAAGTAATGAGCTCCTAGTACGTGACGTTTCGATGACTTCATATTACCATTATGAAGGGTTAAAAAAAAAATCACTTCAGTGATTAGTAACAAAATTACTAGATCTTTGAGCGATAAGATTGAAAAGCTTGAAAGATTTTAAAATACAAATTGGCTGCCTTGGTGTTACGCCTTTTTTGCTGGTTTATCATATGCGTTGAAAACAAGCGTTATCGAAAGCAACCCACTTACAAACATTATCGTGTTGATCATAGGAACCTTTTGTTTAACAAATATCTAAAACAGTATGGGGGGCTGATAACTCCTCTATATCTGTTGCTTGCGGGTATAGATCATGTTTCTTGCGTGGGTATGAATTGCCCATGGCACCATTTCTTTTATTTCATTAGGTGCCCATAAGAGCAGAAAGCAGCCAATTAGTGATATCGTTTAGCATCTTTAATATAAATAATTTGTTATATGGATTTGTATTATGATAATCGTAAGTGAGGGGTTCCTTATGTATACATCTACATTTCTTTGAAAAAAAATTTGTTCGCACAAGCCTTCCAGGCACAAAGCGTTTGTCATTTCCAGTTGCTCTTTCAAGCAATTGCACCTGTTTGAGTTTTTGTGTTGTTGGACTTTTTGTGCAGTTTTTTTATTTTCTAACTTAAGGTTGTTTTGCTAATCGAGAGTCAGCTCAGTAAAAGTAAACTGTAAATGTTTGTAGCATTTTGCGAGAATTTTCTCGCTGAAGTTTTGAAATTAGTCCATTTAACAGTTGACTTTAAGAAAAGTAATTCATCTTTCTTGTTACTGCCCGTCACGCCTATTGTCAGCTCATAGCGGCAGTGACGAGATCTCTCTCTTCTTACCTACCAAAGACCCGCTTCTGGATTGCCCCCACGTCTCATGTATATTCTTCAAGTCTTCCTCCGGCGTCCGCTGCAAAGTTGTTTTAGGTCGGCCTCTCTTTATAGTCCCCTCTGGTGTCCAGTGGATAGCTACTTTTGCTATACTGTCGGGTTCCCTTCACAGTACAAACCCAATCTATCGACGAAAACCCGACTAAGAAAGTCAATTGAGCTGTAAACATAGGCTAGTGGAAACCGGATAAACTAAACTAAGCGAAATTTAACCAAAAATTTTACGAAATATATACTTTTCCGTTTATTAAGCGGGTGTGAGAATTTTTTTTTCAAGTTTTGACATATTATAAAAAGAGAAAATGGGAATTGGCTTCCTTTGCCATTTCGCGTTACAAGCTGGTTTACAATAATAATGCATAATCGCTAGATACTCACGCCCACACATTAAAGGGCGGATTTGACATTTTTGTTTGACAAAATTCAAACAAAAGATTTTTGGAAGCAACTTGATATCATTTCTATGTCTTTTTGCCCGCGGCTATGCTCATATGTGAAGAATCGACTTTTGCAATTTTTTGTTGTTCCTTGTGTCTTTAGAGCACGAAGCAGTCAACTCTCTTCGCTGGCGATATATTATTAAGCATCGTCAAAGAACGATTTGTTACATGAGTCAATTCATAAAGTCGTTCACTGATTGCGTGCCAAGCAGCATTACTTACATAAACATAACAATAACAACCATACAATTACTGAATATTCGAGCGGGTAGAGGGAGACAGTTACTGGTGTGGTGGACAACAGGTCTAGAGGTCTGGGCTCGACTTTCACTTCATAATGTTCTTCTGCGTAAACGCTTGCTCTCAAGTACACGGTTCTTTAGTATTCCAATAACAATTTAGGGCTTACATATAACAATATTGGCTACTCCAATAAAAATGCCGAGCATGTTGCACGCATAAGATGTTTACAGAAGCACTTCGAGCTTGAACACAACATCAGGCTATAAAAGTTGTCCTTTTATTTCAAACTTTGTTTTGAATGGTTCCCTATTTATTTCGAAGGAATTTCTCAATTATTACGGTCTCGGTCTTTCAAATAGCCATAAGAATTCAAAGCAAAATAAAAATTTCTCAGTTTTCCAATTGTAATTTTTTAAAAGATTTTTTTCGATCACATATCATGTAATTGGTGTTTTCATGTCCAGCTCTAGAGAAATGGAAATCTGAGCTAATGAAGAGTTGTAACCTCACATATGAATGGTTTTTGAAAATTTACTCACCCTTTTTTATTATAGACCTACATACTTTTACCATATGACCCTACGTAATTATTTGTGTATATTCTAAGTAGTTTTCGTGACTTGAAGGCTAAACATTGTTTTGTTTTTACATTACGTCTGCGAATAATTCATACATTCTTGGATGCCAATGAAACTGGAAAATGCTGAAACTTGTCTTCAATTTTTCTTTTCCGTTTTTTGCTCGACGATTTTTTTCCGTAAAATATTTCATATGGATCGCTAATACTGCAAAGTCGTTTGTCATCTGTCCTATCATTACTTACGGACAAACTATAACTTAAGTCATTGCGTGGTCAAACAAATAAGCAACCCTTTAGGGCTCGAAGAAGCGTGACGCCAGCCATTTGCATTGATACCGTTGCTGTCTTAGTTTGCTCTACTTTTCATGGGTCGATCTCAGCTTGATTCAAGTGGCAATTCTCCATACATACGAGCGACTATTGAGAAATTAACCGACCTTAAAACCCATCAGGTAACCTGGCACAGATAACGGAAAGTGTCAAGTAGCTAATCGGCACGGTTGACTTCCCTTCTTTACGTCAGCGCTGTTCTATAGAGGCAAAGAGTTTTTCAATTGTATTTGCTTTGTGGCTGGAGGGGTGTAATTTATGAGAACGAAATCAACTGTTCCATAAGCTCTCATCAACTCGCTATATCGAGACAACCCATAAAAACGACAGGTGGGTGAACTTTGATCATCAGTCAGTAGACCGGTTTTTTTTTCGATGAGGTATAGTCAAACACCTGTGAAAAAAGGGTTCGTGGCTTCTATGATGCAGAGTTTTGTCTCGGCCAGGAAACCATTCAGACACCTTTGGGAAGCAAACTCTTTGATGATCGCGCATCAAGTTCCATTGGCAAATTCATTCGAGTTTGGATTAAAACTCTGAGAAGTATCTCCCCTGGCCGAGACGAATTGCTACGTTATGTACCAGCCGGAAAATATCTTTCTAGAAGTATTTTTTAATTATTTGATTGAATAAAACCAATTCGTTTTGATTGTATGAAACCATTTCGTGTACAAGCGGTTTGGAATTCGTTTCTGATAAAGGGGTAGGGTGAATTCGTGAATGGATCTGCGAGCATGAACCTAAAGACGTTTTCTCGAAATTTTGAAAGGCATCCAATAACTCTCTTCGCTGAGGACACACGTCACCTGATACCAGCACGAAATGGATTTTGGGAATCAAAGATTACAAATTGAATTAATTATAGAATATTTCCCTAAGATCACTTAAATCAAGCGAAACTGACCGACGAAAATTGCAGCATATTAAAAGATGTGTGTGATGTGTGTGACGGTGTGAAATAAACTGAGGTTAAGCGGCCCCCAACTGTGGCCATGATAGTTTGTCTGCTTGAGCCGATTTCACCTTTGACACCCTACCATATTCTTCTGACGCTTCTCCAAACATTTCCTAAGGTGCTGAAAGGGAGAATTTGTTTGACAATCACGACCTTCTTCAGTTGCTGATCATGCCTTTATTCAATTTTTTTGGATGACTAATAAACCATGATGCTTTCCCTCGAAGGTATGTCGCTGAAAATCATGTCTGTAATGGCCCTCCTACTGGGTTTGTCCTCTGTTGCCCAAGTGGTCGCTAAACCAGTAGATAAACGATCTTCCTTCTCTCCCGTCGAGACGTCTCCTCTTGGGTAGGTTAATAATCCTGTGTGTTAGTTCTATCTCAGCAAATTGGAAACACAAAGTTATGGTATTTCACGTGTGTTAATAAACTTTAGTTTTCAAAGGAAAAAAACAAAACAAAAATCTTTCCTGCGCATGCTTTCGTCACCCCAGATGGAGATCTGGTACCTCGTCACAGGTTCGACTTCAAGCAAAAAGTGTTTTAAAGTTCTCCCATGCAGTTAAAAAATTAACATGCTGCACACTCTTTCCTCATCTCAGGTCCCCATAAAGAAAGATGCAAAGATGCACGGCTAGTTTTGTCGTTCAATTTTTATCCCTTGCTCGTTCATATAATCAGAGACCATAAAGTCGAATCCTTCTGGCCAAAAGCTTCATCCCAGTGGTCAGCATTGGGATAAGGCGGAAGATGATGAACGTGGGCTCAAGGGAGGGCTAAAACTACACAGAAATCTCTTTTATTGGAGCAAAATAACCCTAACAACGATTCAGTCTTAATCATTGAAGTGCAGCATTTTTTTGTCTCCATTCGCTTGATTCCTTTGTATCAAATGTCTGTTTAGAGTCGAGGATGAAGGAACCAAAGAAGAGAATTGTCCACCAGGGTATGTTAAATAGTTATCTTGCATTAATTCCTTTTATCAGTTAACGTGAAATTATTCCTAGCGAAACACTTTTGAAACATTTCATCGTTAAGTATTAAGTATTGCTCGTAGCGCCGTCTTCTTGTCATTATGAGTATTTACCGAAGTATTAAGCGGTTGCTAAAAAGATGCTTCATGCGTTCTCTTTAGAGATACGATACTATTAACAACGTTTCAAAATAGGATCTTACTCATTTCTTATTGCAGCTCTGTCGGTCTCCACACGATTTCAGGGTATCCATTGACTGTTTATTTTTCGTCCTGCAGATATTGGTGTCGCAGAAGTGAGTTGGTTAGGGATGAAGAAACTCATGAAGAAAATTGTCCACCGGGGTGTGTAAATATTTATCTGCCATTAATTCCTAATATTAATTAACGTGAAATTATTCCTAGCCGATAGCTTAGATATTTTACGTGAACTACTTCTTTAGTAGTATGAACTGAAACAAGATACTGATCTCCGTATAATTCCTACGTAAATATCTGTAAACTCTCGCCGATGACGTTAAATAATAGATCTTTCCGCTTGCACAGGGTGCAAAAATAGCACCACACCCACGACTAACCAAGGAAAGGGAGAGCCTGGAAACCAGTCTGTATTGCAATGCCTCTGAAAAAAACCCTCCCTCATAGGCAAATACAATCTGTGTATAACTCTACTGCTTATGATCAGTGACCATTACGTCGAATTCTGATGAAATATTCACTTGAATTGTCGCCGACAGGTTAGGAAGTCGAAAATAAAGCACGTGGGTTCAACATCCTTATGATAAATCCACAACACATTTCAATCCGTATTCCTCTTTTTCCTTAGCTTCTTTTCTCAGAGCAAAATAACGAACGATTCAAACTTAATCAGTACGGTACAACTTTCTTGATGTTCATTCACACCACTCCTCTGCGTCATTCATTCTTTATTTCCTTCCTTGCAGCTATTGGTGCCGAAGAAGTATGATACCAAGGAATGAAGATACTCAACAAAAAGATTGCCCACCAGGGTAAGTAGATCTTTATCTGTAGATTCCTAATTATACCGAAGCAAAATTTTTGTTTTCTCTCGTGAAGTATCTCGTTAGTACTTTCAAATGAAAGCAAGCCCTAATTACTGCCATATGTAAACATTCTCCCACTGCCTCCTTTTAAAAGATTCCTGTACATCTTAAAACTGTGTATTTTCCGTCCTGTAGCGATTTAGAGTGCCGAAGAAGTGAGCCGGTTAGGGATGAAAAAACGCAACCAGAAAATTGTCCTGTAGGGTATGTTAAATAATCGTCTTCTCTTGATTCGTTGTATCAGTTAACATGAAATTATTCCCACACTTTACACTTTTGAAAGTATTTTTCAACTTCACCATTAAGTATTCATTGTAGAGCCGCCTTTTTGTCATGGTCACGGACAAAAAAAAATTTTTGTATTAAGTGATCATGAGTTTTTACCGACGTATTAAGCAATTGCTAAAAGAATGCTTCGGATTATCCTTCTCTTTAAGAAAAATACCATCAACAACGTTTCAAAATTTGGATTTTATTCACTTTATTACAGCTTTTTCGGTCTTCGCACGATTTCAGGGTATCTATTAACTATTTATTTTTCCTCCTGCAGATATTGGTGTCTTAGAAGTGAGTTGGTTAGGGATGATGAAACTGATGAAGAAAATTGTCCACCCGGGTATGTAAATATTTATCTGCCATCGATTCCTAATATGAATTAACGTAGAATTGTTCTCAGTCGAAAGCTTAGGTATTTCACGTGAATTACCTCTTTGGTGGTTTGAACTGAAATGAGATTCTGATCTCCGTATAATTCCTATGTAAATAACTGTAAATTCTCTCCGATGCTGTTTCAAAAAAGATCTCAGTCTCTCGAACGTGATCAATGTTAAACAGCACCATACCCACGACCAACCAAGCAAAGGGAGAGCCTGTAAAGCAGTTGGTGGTAAGAAAGGCGAGAGCCTGTAAACCAGTTAGTGGTGCAATGCCTCTAAATACGACCCTCACACTTGGGCAAACTACTATCTACAAACTTTCCTTTCTTTGGTATCAAGTATTCATTATAGTGCATCCTTTTGCTCTTCATTAACAAAGAGGCTGTTGTGTGCTTTAACTGAGTATTTTTTCCGACAGGTACTGGTGCCGTTGAGTCAAAGATTCACAGTGTCAACCGAGGTACGTATATATTTAATCATCCCATTTCGATTGAGTAATAAAGCGTTTCCACTGAAGCGCATCGCGCTCGCATCGCTCAACAAGAAAGTAAAATTATACAAAGAACCTCATCTCCATGGTTCACCTTTGCATATCTTTTATCGTCTCCCTTCCCCCATCAAAAGCCTCCAAAAAAAAGTACATCTTTGTAAGACAATTATTTTATTATTTATGTAGCACAAGTTGCTGATCCATTGTCTACAGAAATTTACGCCATTATCGCAGTCTGGGGATGCTACTGCTGAAACAATACTCACCAGAGAATCAAGGGAACGGAGCAGTTATCATTAAAATGTTTAGGTTTTAAAAGTTTGTTGTTCAACTAGTAATTGAAAATAAATCTTCATCAAAAGCCTTGTTCCACTCCGTAATTTCCCCGCATCTGATTTTGAGGGTAACGGCTGATCCTTATATACGAGTGAGGCTCATTTTGTAACCGGATACTAACTTTTTGTCACGGTTTGGCCTCCAAAATTCAGGGTGCGACAGTACAGGGTCGGGAGCTCGAGCCTAGCTGTTTTGTTATTCTCAGCGGTCTCACTTGAGCATATACTGTATGTGGGGGATGCAATTTACATTCGCTTTTAATCTCCTTCCCACACGTCAGCGGAACCTGAACTCTAATTTACCATAAATTGTTCTGCACAGAGGGTGCCGCTCTCAAAGATTACGTTCAGGACAAATTCTACGGAAATTAATGAGTATTCGCAAGGACAATGCATTTATGATCTATAGATAATTTAAAACTCACTCTACACGTTCTCTGACGGAGGTAAACCCGTTTAGCTACTGAGAGTGTCTCAATGGGTTTAACCGTAAGCAGTAAAACGGAAAATAAAAACGTTAACTGTAATTTTTTTTAAAACTACAATGCAGAGAAAACTACAATGGAGAGAAATTATTCCTGCCGTAAAGCTCAATCTAACTTTAAGCTGTGACTTCATCATCAGAAAGCTTTTCTGGACTGCAGTAATACTCCTTTGACTCATCAAGTGATTCAAAATCCAAATAAGGCGTGTCCTCTTGCATCATTTCCTCTAATAATCTCGTGGTGTTTTCAAAAGTCGGTCTCTCATCGGGCTCTTCTTTCCAACACTCTGACATCAGTTGATATCTGAGAAAGACAAATGAGCGGGTAGGCCTTTGTAATATACAAGCGTGGATCCCTGTTTTATTGTAAACACTTTTGGTATTTCGCCTCTCTCAAAGATTTTTCTTAGGGACTTTCAATGTATTTCATCCAGTGTTATCTTATATCAATGAAGTTACATTCAAGAACGCTCAGGACAAAGATATCAAGCTTTTTAGTGAGAAAAAAAACCACACGACCAGTTTACAACCACAAGGTATCAACTGCAAAAAAAACATTTTCGACGTTCAATTCAGTAAAAAAGAGTGCTGTTTGCCACTTACAATGTATCAGAAGAGGTGTCTGGTTTTTCCATTCGATATCCAGTCTTAAGAAGATTGTACAACTCTTTGTTATTGACTCCTGGGTAAGGGTTTCCTCCTACAACAAGAAAAGGCTTTGTTATTTACAAAATAATGTATTGTCGTCAAAAGGGAGAATTGCTCTTTAGATCTTGGGAGTTAAAAGGTTAAAGATAGAAAAACCTAAACAGCAAAGTAATTAGAATTTAAAAGTCCTCTGTATCACACTCTTTAGACGTTTTCTTACCCATTGTGGAAAGTTCCCAGAGGAGAATTCCAAAAGACCATCTGAAAAATTAAATGTTATTCAAAAAACTTAACATGATAGTAAATCAAAATTAAAACTTAAAAAATTAAAAATCTTTCCTATTGCTCCAGGCTCCGCTTATTTTCCACAGGACTTCAATCTTGACAACAGCGCCAGTACAGACCTACTTGATATAAAAATGGTAACAGGTCGATGGTAGCATGATAACAATTGGGTCATGCAAACATGATATCCTGACACCATGATACAAATGGTGATATACATGTAGAGGAGTTATCGACTGAGCGTCACTAGTAATCCGTGATTGCTTCATTTCACTATGTGATGCCTTCTGGGGGGGATCAGTAAATTAACGTGACACAACCAAAATCATCCGAACCCCCTTCCCCTCCTCCGGTCTCTTAGCAGTTGTTAAAACACTTACACATCACTTTTGGTTGTATATTCACTATTGTAAAGTGCTTCTGGCGCCATCCATTTTACTGGTATCTTTTTCCCTTTCTTCAGTGTGTAAACGTTTTCATGGGTTTGCCTCATGAGTCCAAAATCAGAAATTTTCACCACTTTGTTTTCACCAAGAAGAACATTACGAGCTGCCAAATCGCGATGGACAAATCCTTTACCTGATAAATACGCCTGGAATGGTAAAAGAACATAAGAAGAGAAAGATTCATGTTTTTTTTTAGTACATACTGAGGGAGGGAGTCAGAGGATTAACTGATTACCCTCTAAGGCTCTATAGTATTCTTACGACCTGCCTTCACTGGCAATCAATTTTCTATAGTCCCCTATTTATATTCTGTAAGGGACGACTAATCCCCTCACCGTTCCCCCCTGAAAGCTATGTGACCCCCCCAAAAAAATCCTCCGCCCCCCCCCCCAAGATAAATAATGACAGGTCCCTGAGACTACGCGTCTACAAGTCAAGCGAACTTGCTTCATCTGGTCTGTCTTAGAATGTGCGACCATAGGATGAGGCGACATGTATCTTATATGTCTTATTAGGCATTTTGGCGCGTAGTATCGCTGAGTATTTTTACGAGTTGTGCCGTATTTTGACAAGCTCGCAGGGCGAGTCAAAAAAGAAAATAACGTGTGAAAATAATCAGCAATACTATACATCAAAACGTCTAACAAGTGATTTATTATTCAACTGTTTTATTCCATACGCTTTTCTTATAAAGTGGGAAAAGCTAAGCAAGCAGAGAAGGGTGCCATGTGTAGCCGACTGGTTAAAAAGGTTTTTTTTATAGTCCAAAATAACCTATCGTAACTGTCTAATATCACAGGATATTTTTACTCGATGGACGCGTTATTTGTGCTCTACTCGGTGCAGTTGGATAATAAGTGGGAATATTGTACCCTAATAATCGGTGTCGTAAGTATTCAAGCCATTCTTGTCCAGTAGCCCGAACATCTGTGGGATAATGGACTCTATCAGCTGTGTTGCTACATTGTGCGTCCTCAATCGTCCCTCCCCCCCCCCTTCAACGAAAAAACATGAAGAATTATACCCTTCACAGTGTTTACGAAAAACGCCGTTAACAGAGAACAACAATGTGATAACTGAAACATAACTAACCATTCCGCGCGCTACTTGCCACGCAAAGCCAAGAAGATTCTTAGCTGTGAAGTCTTCGTCCCGTTCCACATTATTATGACAATCACTTAGAGAGGTTTGAATAGGATGTTTTTCGTAATGATTCTGCACCTTTTCTGTCACGTCAGTTTTTGCTTCATCTATGGCGGGTGTCTTTTCCTTCGAGACACTTTCAATACCCGAGGCAAAGACAGAAACTGAGGTTGAAACAGCCTTAGGAATACCCTTGGTGTCTGGATCCTTTCCACTTTCTTCTTCACTCCTCGATAGCAGTTCTCTGGACTCATCTTCGTTAATCTGCACCAGATTTGCATCAAGTTGCAGAGGCTTGTTGAAGTTATCATAATGCTTTTGATAACTCTTCTGTGCATTACATGAGAGGAAAAGATTAGTTATAACACTCAGAACGATTGCTCTCGGTCTCAAAGCAGGTAGGGGCTACAAATATTATCTTTTCTACTAAATTAAAAAAAAATTATAATTTGCATTGGAGCTTTGAGGCCATGTTCATTTAAGAAAATCTGAGTCGACGTAAATGTCGTATGGGATAATAAACAATTGAAAAAAATTGATTACGATTCGATAACCTTGCGTATTTTATAGTTTCAGGAAGCCAGGATTAAACGCATTTCAAGGCAATTTAATATTGCTATGGTGACTTTTCCTTCGATCCTGTTGGCAATACTTAACAATCAGTTTGAAACCATTAGAGCAATGACAGCTTTAACAAAATCGGAGCAAAAGAAATAATATCCATCCATGATATCAAAAGTAGGAGTAAAAATTGATTTAGAACACTGAGAATGTGTTTCTCTCGAGAAACTTTTCTTATCCACTTACTTGTATCCTTTTGTTTCTTAGCCACTGTAACAAATCCCCGTAAGAAACGTATTCCAAGAGGAGAAAGATAGGATCCGAGTGTACCCAGCATCCCAACATTCTAACAACATTAGGATGTGAGCCGATTGATTTCATAAGTTCAATTTCCTCCAAAAACTGGTTTCGTGCCTCGTCGCCTGTCTTGTCTGAGGAGAGAATCGAATGAGTTCAGATGAGGTTGGAAAATGTGTGGTGTTTTCGGGGTATAGCCCAGGTGTTTATAGCGAATAAGAGCAATGAAATATTTCTTTCAGCATTTTAAGAGAGCCGTAATGACGAGTGAGATTTCATTTCCTTTTACATATTAGATATGATTGTTTAAGTAGCCTATTTGCAAAATTTGACGATTGGAAAATGTCTCGTTTCCGAAATACACGGAAGAGAAGTTTCGTTTCGAAGGCAGAGTCTCGCACTCAATAGCTGTTTAACGATTTACAGGTCAATTGATGTCAATTAACAAACTCAGTTTTATAAACTCTATGAAAACATCCTCAATTTATTAAAGTCCGAACAACTTGCCTCCCAGGAGTTTAATGGCCACTGTTTCTCCTGGTTTGAAGTCGACCGTCTTATTTCTAGGCTCGATGAAGACCTCAGTTCCAGGTGATTCTCTGAAGGTGCCTTTTAATACCTTACCAAATGCCCCGCGACCAATCTCTTCCCCGAATACAACCTGCTCCGGAAGAACTTCCCAGTTATGGAGGGTAAAAATGGTGGACTTCGATCTGAAGTGTAAGTAGGTATTAGTAGTATTGAAGTATATCCCGCGCTCAACTGCCACGAGCCTTCTTTGATATCAAATTTTAAATTAAAAGAAGAAGGCAATTTTGCAAAACGATATTTTTTAAGTACAAAAATGGTTAATGTTACCTCCTGAGCCTTAGGGCAGAAGCATGTTTTCTGCTTTTTCTTGCTGCACGTCTCAGGTAGATTACTGCGATAAAAACTACGAACAGAAGGATGCAAACACCCGCTAATAAACCAGCAAGCTGTGGCGTTGAAAGGATTTTACCACTGCCTGAGCCTGAAGACTTAACCGTGTCGTTTTCAGTAGTCCTATCAACTGAACCTACAATCAAGATGAAGTTTATCATTAATTTCTCCGTTCCCGTTATTGATCGAAAATACTACTTCTCTCTCTTGTTGCTGGACATCTCCTATGTTCCTTTAATTAAGCTATTTTCTGAGAATTTACGTATGTTCGTGATGTTTCATGAAGACATAATTACTCTCGCTAATAAGTTTAGCTATTTCTATCAAGCACATTAAACACTTATGGCGCTCGACTTGCAAAGAACCTTCATTTGATTCTGATGATGACGTCCGCTCAGGCTTTCGAAACGTCAGTCTCTGCTAACATTAGTCAATCCTTTCCGGGACCACTCTCACCTGAACGATCAGACCACATGACCAATTTTTTTTTCCACAAGCTCGTTGTGAAAAAGGCTCTGTTCAGCCCCAAGAAAAAATACCCTCTATCATCTCGGGCGAACGATATCGTTATTACAGACTTCGCTTGCAAGCCCGTAGTTCAAGTTTGTTATAAGACATAAGAAAAATAAGGAGAAAAGACAAAAAATATATTTTAAGTACCTGATGATGCTGTTGTTATTATCCATGGCCTCGACCTTGCACTCTGTCCCAGCTCATTCCACGCCGACATTTCAATTGTGTATTGCCTCTCGTACTCTAACGATACAGTATGGCTTGTCTTCGTAACATTTGTGACATTGACTTGGTTCCAGGACTCCCCTGCTCCTCCCGGATAAATCAGTCGATAATGTATTGAGTACATGGTCAGCGGACACCCATTGGCTGTTTGAGGACTCCAGGATAAGGTGATATTGTTACTCGATATTTCTTGTTTCATAGGAGTTATAATTGGAGGTGAAGGAATGCCTTCAAAAAGAAATTAGATGGTGTTTGTAAACCTCTTTGGGAATAGAACAAGGTAGTTCTTTGAGACATAAAAGTGCTGCACAATTACGATTGATTTATGGATGAATAATCGCAACAAGTGTTCAACAGAAATTAAAATTTTACTCTCTCGTGCATTCAAAACCGCTTGAAATGAGAGAATTTTTTCTTTTTGTGGAAATACTGTTTGATGTACTTTACGGTACATTCCTGACATAGTTTTACAACTCAGTGGTAGATCTAGGGGAGGGAGAGCCGGCAGGGCAAGCGACAAAAAACCGCCCCCCCACCCTTGATCTGGATCTGCCACTGCAACTTCAGTGCAATCGACTTCAAAGTTTCACTTTGTTAAGGTTATTACCTCCGGTGGTTTGGAAATTCCAAATTTTGCTGTCATTGAATGGACTCTCCCCTGATTCGCTAATCGAGGTAACAGACACATTGTATTCTTTCCTGCAGCTCAAATGAAGCGTACAACTTGTGCGACTTCCGTCCAACTCTACCGAGTACCAGTTGCCTTGTTGTCTCGCTGATGACATAACCTCTCTGTAATACACATTGTATTTGACAACCGGACATGCTCCTACCAAAGGAGGTTCCCACACCACTAGGACGTCCCCCCCTGATACACTCTTGGTCGTGTTGACGATAAGCGGAACTCCTAGAAAATTATTTGATAAATGATTAGTAAGATTCAAGGTCTGCAATAAGCTCATGGGAAGGGGAGGGGAAGGATGTTAATACAGACGGTGTAACTCATCACTATTCTATTTTACCATCCTGATATGAAGATTCATCGGATAAATTTTTCTTAATCAATAGAATTCACCTCTTAGTTTGTTGACTTGTTCCAGCGACAGTGCCGAGCCAAACACATAAAGATCCATCACTGATCCATAGAACTGATGATCATCCCAGTGCCCGTCATCACCGATCTGGTACCGATTCCCTGTAGGTCCGTAAAACGCATCCTCTGATGAAAAAGAGTTCTCCCCCACTTTTAACCCGTTGGCTAATATCGACACGGCGGTTTTTTTATGATCCCATATAACAACCACGTGGGTCCACGCGTCAAAAGAAACATCAGCACTTCCTGCGGACCACCATTGGCTTTCTCCGTATCCTTCTCTGTGACGATGGAAGATAATCTCTCGGTTTTTTAGACTTAGCAAAAAATTCCATGGTCCTCGCCAGTCACCGTATATTGCTGCAGTCTCATCCTTAACGCTTTTTGTTTGTTTAATCCAACAGGCAATTGTAAAACTGCGGCCTCCAAGATTTATTAGAGGCACGCTGGCATAGGAACTCGATTGGTTAAAAGTGATAGTGTTGCTGCTGGCGCATCGACCCTTGGTGAAAGATGGCGAACCAGATAAACTGTAATTGAAGCAAAAAAGTGTTGAATTTATGCGATCCCTTCGAGATCGAAGGACGATCTTAATTTATGGAAAGAACTACTTCACTTGTGTACCTGACTTATCACACCATTAAAAATATGGCACCATATGAAGAACGAAATATGCAATTTTCCATTTATCTGTCAGGTATGTTACTGTTACTTCCTGGTAATACTCAAATCACAAAATTTTAAAAAATACCTTACATTCCCATCTTGACCGTTAAGCAGCCAGTGATCTAGAACTACTCCATCTGCAAAAAGAGAAAAAATTGATCGATAGGCAAATGTCAGGCAAAACTGTAGTGGGAGTGTTTACCTTTAGAAGGAACTGTTTTTGGTGCCAGTGTCAGACGATTTTGAAAACGTTAGCGAAAGTCATCATCAAATTCTCAGTCTCAGGCAGTGCAATGGTTCATGGTTATGTGATGCACCATAGTCTGGCCTTTGTTGAAGCATTGGCAAAAAGAGAATTTACTTATTAGAATCCTAACGTTATATTGTATTTTAATGATAACGAATACCTTGTGCCGTAATTTTGCAGCACTTAAATGTCTCAATACAGCTTAAGGCATTGCACCCTCCTCTGTACACTCCAGCCATGTAATACCAGTCTCGGCACGTGTTCCAGCCCTCTGTATCAAGTTTTTGTCCCACATCTTCAAGGTAGCAATCTGTGGTCCTACTTATGTAGGTCTTTGGCCTGCAACACAAGGCTTGCTCGATGTTGTCCGAAAAAGTTTCATTTGAATGATAAAATCCTCGTAGAAAATCATAGTCTTCAGGACAGGAAGCCCACTTGTGGTTTCTTGATTGAAAACAAAAAATTTTAATAACTAAATATTCGTATTCGTCATTTTCTTATGCGTTGGATTTTTCACCTTTATGTCGCCAATCAAAGCTCCACGCCTGACCAACAATTATCGAGGCTTCATTGCAAACTTCTTTTTCTACCTGTTTACGTAAGTTTGCGGAGCCGGATTATCTTCATCACATCGGTCGTGAATCAGGAAAAAATAGAAAGATAAACGATATTCATTAAATGGTACCAAACTGCATGAATCAATGCGTGAAAACTCGAGAAGTCAGGTTACGTCTGGTTTTAGCACTGCATGGGTTTTCCAGACCAAACATATATAGGGCACAATCCACGGTTACTTTCGGCACTCTAGGTGAAGTTTCCCTTTGGTGGTTATTTTTGAAATCATGATCAGTCAATTTAGGATGAACATCCAGATAAAACTGACGGCGAGCGGTAGGATGACTGACATTTTGACCTTTTTCACGACGAAAAGGAAACATTTTAGGGATGATATCAATAATGAATTCGTACTGCTTGTGAGGTGCACAAGAAAGACCTGAAGAACAACAAAGGAAGTCACTTGAAGATAACAGAGAACCAATTCAGGATGTTTCGTCTTCTCGTTCCTTCAGTTTATCTTTCTCATACTTCTAAAGATAGCTGAGGGATTCACAACAAGAAATTCTTGAACAAATTAATGCTGTTTTAGACGCAGGGTACCGACTAAACAAAACAACGTTTGAGAAAATTTAACGCAAAACGAGATAAAAGGGATAGATATCAACACATGCCTACATTTCCAAGTGTCTTGAACCGTTGCGCAAGAAAGTCAGGCATAAATCTACACAAACACTTACCTGCTTAATAATTTTTTCCAGTTCTCTGTTTTACACTCAGTATCCTCGTCCAGAAACTCATGAGGTGGAATGCAGCATTGCCCTGCTTTGATATTATCGATACCGTCGGAGTTGCTGATATGCGCCCTTAAAACTCCTTTCAGGTACTTTCCAAGTGGGCAGCTCACCCATCCTGCAATACCCAGAGTGATATTCCAGTCTACTTGAGTGCAGTCGCTGTAAGCTGTGAGGGATAGGAAGCATTCAATTCTATTGCTCACCAAACACTCAACTTCAACTGACCCAAGAAAGTACCGTAGGGATATTAGCGGAGCTCGTAGAGCGTAGCCCCATAATTATACAAAATAGTAATAACCCATCAAGCCGAAAAAATTTGGATGTACGACCGTACGACCGACCATACAAGGTGCTACTTTTAGCATGCGCAGGCAACTGTACCACGGGCACTATCTTATAATCAGTCCTCTACACGGACACGGAGAAGTTGCCAATGAAAATCCATTAATATTACCACGCACTTTATCCATAGTAGGGGGTTTAGTTTTGTTGAAGAGACGTGCGGGAAAAAAATGCGAGCTCCGCTTTTAGGCTTGACTAAATCTATATATTAGCCATACGCTCTCGTAAAGCTATCTGGTCGAGTGTTAGAGCTAAAATGTTAGCTTATGTTTTTCAAATCTAATCGAGAACTGGCGGTCGCGTTAACTACTTGGAGGATGATATCGTAATAAAGATTAAGGTTATCTAATGAAAACTCCGTGAGCTCAGGGTGGGGGGAAGAAGTAGACGAGGTGTGAGCAAGTTGCCTGCCCGATCTACATTTATGTTGTAAAAAAAGGAACTTGCTTACCCGATACTGGAACGGTGAATCCCAAACAAGCCTATGGATAAAAAAGCGTGAGGTAATCAGAAGATTAAATCAATTACGCAGCAAACTACTAAGTTAGCTACTAGATTAGAATAGATACTTTGATTCTGTTGCTACGCACATTCGACTCTGAAACTTGTAGGTTTTCAGTGGTTTTCGTCCGAACGTCTTAGATACTGAGAAATTAGTATATTTAAATATCTTATTAGACGGTTTGTTTTGTATTATCATTGATTAGTATATACCACACTGGACTAAAAGCCTACACCTTGTAGAAATTTTCTTCTGAGCCATTCGCTCACGAAAGGGATTCTTTACCATGAAAGACTTTACACTTCCGGTTCAAATTCCCCTCCCCAGCCAGGCATGGTTCAAATTCCCCACCCCCGGGCACGACTGACGGTCAATTACCCGTGGGTTACCCCGGAGGGTGGGGGGGGGAAGTTAAAGCTTCGAATTGATTGGTTCCCAAGCCATATGATAAACAACTTAAAACCTCGAACGTTAAGTTGTTACGGGAATATCCTCGGCCCAGTTCCAGGTTTTTAAAATCCGAACCATGTCAAACCATGCGTGTTCCTCGTATTCAATACATCTAAATTCCACGAGTGAACAGATTTGCAGTTCAAACACGAGAAAACGTACTCTTCTTGGTAGGAGGAGAATTTAATTTATCTTATTCTTGAAATTTTTCTGGTGTCAATCTTCATATTTTGAGAAGTACCATCTACAAACGAAAAAACGTTTGTTTGACGTAAACTACGTTTTGATTGCAGGCCCCGCGAAAAATGATTTTTTTAAGATTCTAATTGTTTCCATTCTTAGGCAGATCTGCTTTTCGTGCGTGATGAAACTGAAAATTTTAGTTTCATTCAATATCAATCCTGCCGAATTAACTGTCACACTCAGTTAAAAAACAAAACAAACCATCGAGTGTCTGTCGAAATGTGATACGCCAAATTGTCCCTCTTAAAAGAACATCGTACAAGAAATTTCAGTCCCTCCCTACAATGATTTTATTTCCGGTCACCACTTTCTCTTCCTTATGAAAGAAATTCATATACGCAGATTAACTAAGGGTGCCTGAATGATCATTGCATCAGAACAAATTTCATGGGGTTGTCCTTTTTAAAAACAAGAAAAGAGAATTGGAAAACCTACCCCAAAAATATTATGTAGAATTCTACTTAACACTGCATGCTATTGTAATTTACTTCAAAATTTCTCCACGTACTGTAACTGGTAAAGAGTTAATTCTCGCCTCTTCCATTCAAAGCTTAATGTTGTACTCAGGGAACGCCTAATTTGGGTCAATTTCTGACGATGGTGTGAAGGTTATGCCGAGTTAGTTAGCTAAAAATACCTAAATGTTTAGAAATCATGATAAAATTCAACTTAACGTACCATCACGATGACGGACACCCAGAGAGATCCCATTCGTAATTTAGCTGTTTGACTCCTCAGTTGATGATGATCTCTCAAGGTCTGATTGAGTTCTTTCTTAGTTGCAGCAACACGGCACTGTAAATGGCAAATTATGATGCGATGCGAAGTACGTGATGCGAAGCCTCAGAATCTTTTTATTTGCATCTGTATTCGCTTTTTATCAAGCAATTTATTTTCACCTGTCATGCATGTACAAACAAGTCACTAATTACCGTTCGGTTTGGCTAATACACGTGCTCAATTTACGCGTACTATCCTATAAATGTAGCTGCGTGTAGAAAAAGGACACCTCATCGGATTTCATTTTGCTGGGTGTTCATCTTTTCATGGCGAAAAAATAGCTAGTAAAGGTGTTTGGAATTTTCTCTAATAGTTGTACATCATCAACGCTTCAAAATAATTAAGGTCCCAGTGTGAGAACATCTGTCAATATCTTGCATAATGGTCGTTAAGAAATTTTAACCAAGATTAATACGATTTTGAACAATGGCAAATTCGTGAAGTATATCACGATTTTCTGATGAATCTGGAACTCGGTTTGGTTCACAGTCATAGCGAAGAACTCGCCGACATTCTGGGGACTCAGATATTTGCTTCAATAACGCAAATGCACATCGAGATCTTCAGAATTAATATTTCATAGGCAGGATTTGTGGCGAAGTAAAAAGAGCTAAGATGCGCCATTGCACAGGCAATTTACAAATGTGCAGGTGATATGATTGTTATTAAAATTTTCTGATGAACATGTAACTTCAACTTTCATTAGCTTTACATCGGTGAATGACAAACGGGGAATGAGAATCACGAAAATTATTGACTTGAAGATACGATATTATCTTGGTAAAACACAAAAGTTTAATAACCATTAGCCACATGTGAAAATGTGAGGAATGAGAAAAAAAAAAAAAAAAATAATACTTATTCATGAAACGATTTTTATGGTGAACTAGTAAACCAGATTTTTAGTCTTCCTGAAAAAAGAGAATTCTCCATTTTGTCTTCCGTTTGCTTACAGGAACACACTCTCAAGTGAGTCTGCCAATTTCCAAAAAGTAATCTATCACCAGCTGTTCCACTAAGGTCAAGTGAAGAGCACAACACAAGAAGCGTTTTTAAACAAGGTTATACAAAGAACAAAGAAACGTGGTAATCTTTTTAATTTGGGGGTAGTCATACGGTTGTCCTTGAACACACAAACACAAAAGCAGGACTTCAGGGCTAATTGTTGCGGGCAAACATAAAACCTTCCAAAAAACTAATATTGATACTTCTGTGAGCGATTTCAAATGTGAAAAAAAAAAACACTTAATTGTCTCCCTGCATATAAAATGTAGCTTGATACGTGACGGACCGTCGTCTTGAGACGCTGTGAGCACGCAATTTCTGCATGTAATATAAAATATGGGAGAACGATTCTGCGAAGAGTGACCCATTCTCTATGACTCATAGCTCTGATAATTTGTGTGGTACTGGCTTGAGGCGGGGAATAGGCATTGGGGTTTATTAGAAACCGCAAAACCGTAGAAAAAATAATCCAAAACTGCAAAAAAACAAAAAAAAAACAAAAATAAAATCGGTCAAAACCGAAAACCGCTTGCAAAATCGTTAAAACCGATAAATTTTCACATCCCAGTTAACAAAACCCTAATCGATCCCAAACATTGGTGACAAATGGAGCATACAGAGGTTTCGCAGCTATTCGAGATCAGTGGAGGCGCAAAATTGCTGCTCAGATCGAAGAGAAACCGGAACCCAGACAGGAAAAACAGAAAACCACATCGCATACCTAATCCGAAGTCCCGATAGTGTTTTTGACGAAAAGCGAAAACCAAACGCTGAAAAACGGAAAATCCGCAAACCACGAAAAACACCACAACCGAACAACCGATTTTTATTTTATTTTATTTTTTTGCGGCCAAAACCGCAAAACCTAAAAACTCAAAGCCCCCCTCGTTGAGATTATCACAGCTATGACTATTTGAAGATTATTCTTTGTCACCATGAGGATTGGTTTTCTTATCAATAAATTCTTGGGGTCCATTTCCCTGCCACTTTCAATTCTTGTGTGGCTCCAATACTTTACCATTGAGTCCATATTTTTACAAGAGATCTCCTCTTCAGTCAAGTCGTCGGTTTTATACATGATATATACCAGAACGAGTTTTAGTGTTCCCATGCAAGATGGAAATGTTCTTATTTCTCTGTTTCTATTCCACACTTTGGCGAAATCTCATTGAGAAAATTTCTGAGCCTCAGTTCAAAAGATGTCTGATCTTTTTTTCTTCAAACATTTCTATTTTTATTGCTCCAGGCAAATAGCACTGAAAGGATTGGATCTACGGAGAAAATGACCTAAAAGACTTGCGAAGTTACAGTTCTCAGCTAAGTTAGCGTGTAAAACTAAATTATCTGGGTTCCACATACTAAAATTTTAAAATCGTTGGCCGGTCTTTGAAGATCCAATTCTCCCAATACAACTCGACTAGAGCATAATATGGTTATCGCTAATAGAATAAACAAAACATTCTTGCTGCAAAAAAGGAGTCATTGTTTTGGAAATTAAGGCGTAGTAAATATATGGTGCATCGAACGTTAGGGATCCTCGCAGCTATGAACACTACTGAACTAGTAGTTGGAATAAGACCTGAAAAAAATTCAGGCCCGTACGGGATTTGAACCCATGACCTCTGCGATACCGGTGATGTGCTCTACCAACTGAGCTAACAAGCCAACTGGGAATTCGGCCAAACATATATAATGACTAGTTCACTAGTGTTCATAGCTGCGAGGATCCCTTATATTCGTTTCTTCACCGCAATGCACATATATGATTTTCATATATATACAATCAGTATACGGTGCATTTTTTTAAAGAGGAAAATCGGAATTTTTATCAATGATTTTTTTAAACCTCAGGATCACCTTATCTATCTGCTACTAAGAGAGATTACCATGGTATTGTCATGGATTATTGTGCTCTCTAAGAGCATTATATTAAGGGATTTTAACACAAACAATAAAACGTATCCTCTAGAGACGTCTTTCGTGCGATGTACAATCACTTCACTGAAGTTACAGCAAATTGAATGAGCAAACGAGCAAAAAACTCAACTCGTCTACTAAAGGCTTCCTGCCTACACCATTGATCTTCACACGGACTAGACTGAGACCAACGTTTATTTTTGGAAGACTGCGAAATGGTGGTTTAGTGACATTGATATAGAAAATTATGGTATGAATGTCTAATGGAAATAAGGAAAAACGGTTCCATTTTATTGTAACGAAGACAGACAGTATCCTGAAGTGTTGTTTATTTCGAGAATAACGCTGATCCTATTCGTGGTCGATCAAAATACGAACGGATTTGACAAAACGTCAACTATTTGGAGCGTGGTCATTGAATTCCAAGGTATCATCTCATCTCTAATACTATGCCTGAAAACGTCAAACTACCTCCACTACTGTGTATGACAGTTAACAAAGCACATCCCTCGAGGTCCGAGTATCGCTTTAGCTTTACTCCAAAGGTAAAACTTGTTCAACCCCACATCAAACTTGCGTCGAGTTTCATGTATCGTCGACCTCCCGAATACGTTCGTGGTCAGCCTCGCCTGAGCTTCCAACCAGGGTATGTACCTGCTGCTAGAAGTGGAGGTCTTGGAGACTACGTCTTCTTGCATAGCAACGCGTTTTACAATGGAACCAAAGAGGAAAGGACTTATTTTACGGTCAGACCAGACTGGGTGTCAGAGAGGTCTGTGCGAAAGAACAATCCATTTTCTTGAAGACAACGCGGACTCTCGCTATCTCCTATCTTTTTAATCATTAATCGTTTGATCCAATAACGTTGGCGTAAGTTTTTAACTTCGAATTGCAATGGCACGTTCTATTTTCAATGAAAGCAAGATTTTGTTATAAGTAAGAATGCCTAAGACGGGCAAAGTGTGTGTTTTCTATTACTATTCGTCGGAATTGCATGCAGCAGCAGCAGTTGATGAAAGTTCCATTTACAGCGCACAGTCCGAAAGCAAAAAGGCGTGAGAATATGATAAATAAAAATGGATTTAAACCATACACATCAACAACCAATGATTGAAGAATGTAAACACAATAATTTAATTTCAAGCACAAGAAGCTATTTTGGGCCCAGCAGTAGTGAATAATATCGAATAATAATGCTGCGCTTACTTATAAAGAACAAAACTTCAAGTAACTTCTGTTTCATCTGGACCATTGCATCACCTTGCCTGCAGCAGAAAACTGATGCCCAAATTGTTTTCTTTTTCTAGGAACAGTTATTCCGTGACTTATACCGTGACTTTCAGAACTCTTCAAGAAATGTTACTTGTTTTCTGAAGTGTTTATTGTAACAACTGCATTGACAGTGTAAGGAGGTTCTCTTAAATAAATATTGACAATTTTTTTATTCTTTCTTCGAGCTTTTCTTAAAATCGCTGAACGTAATTCGCCAAACCCATGTCACACGAGAGACTGAGGGGGTGCCTTTCCTGTTTTATGCTACAAGTATGGCTTTTTGAGGATTAACTGTGACCCGCATTTGAGAACTCTGGTCATTTTTGTACTTGAGGTGGAAGAACTTTGGGGCCGTGATGGAACCTATACAAACTTAAAACTGAATGAGCCATTCACTAAGTCCGTTGGTTTTCTCTTAAGGCAGTACTGTCATGGTACTCAGCACTTCGAAAAGGAAAAGGCTCGATCTTAAATTTGGCTTTTCGATGACCCACCGATGACTGAAAAAACTCCAGTAACACCGGCAAAGACACGCTCGATTTATTCGATCAGACCAGCCAGAGATAGAAATGTGAGCTTTGAACCTTGCCGAGACTAGTTTGTTTACTCTGGGCACAATAGCGTTTGATTGAGTCCAGAAAAGAAAGCAGTAATTGCATAACAATAACGGAAAGAATTAAAGTTGTTATCCTAAGTAATGAAATATGTAAACGATCTGCGTTGCTACTGACGACAAGTAACGCAATATTGTGTACCCCACGAAATGAGCTTGGGACAACTGATTAGTCCTGAACGTGAAAAACCATTTATAGTGGAGATTAACAGCTCACAGCCAATATACCCTGAATTTAAGAGATAAGACGTTAAGAAGGTTTTTAACAAGTCGTTTGACATCTTTCCCTGACGTAATTACAGCGCCGAGTTCGGCCAAATTTCAAGCAAGACGCCACAATTTTGTGTTCTCAAAAAGAGCAGCCGTTCGTTCAGCTTTGCCTTTGGAAAACCTTTATAACGAAATGCCGGCAAAATACGGATAGGAGCCAGGACTTTTGCAAGAGACAATCAGTAAGTTAACCTACAAGAGTGAATATGCGACAAATTATACAGGGGAACGTGTCCCAATACAGAACATCCGAATTCCAACAGGATTAAGGCCGTGTGTTAGGATGTCTGCATGGGACGAGGCTCAGAAACCAGAGACCTCTCGGGTGATTCAATTACCATTTCACCAAAGGCGAAACCATCCTGCCAGAATAAATCTGCAAGGATTACAGCCATCGCCAACCGCAAGAGCAAAAAGTGCTGTTCAAAGACCCAGCAGCAACATTTCCGAATTGAGTCGAAGCAGTGGTCGGAAATCTACGATTCCGATGTCGGCAGGCTCGAGGCACGAAAGACCTGGTAGGAAAGATTTATTCAACCGACCCCACAGCTTAGTGGCACGAAGACCGCAGAGTGAACTTTCGCGTTATCCGAAAGAATTTCGTTACATTGACAAACAGTGCTTCTTCCATCCGGCGAACGAGCCAACGAGAGGCTTCTTTGTCATCAGCCCAGACTGGGTATCCGAGCGTAGGAATTACTTTATACGCAAGAATACTTTGTTTGGTTAAGTTAGCTCGGTCTGACTTAGGCCAATAATCACTGATGAATTACTAATGAGTATCGACCCTGCTATCAAATTAACATAACCTATAAAAATGATAATCAGTGTTTACACTTTCATTTTGGAAAATTGAGTGCTTTCGTCAGAATTTTGTCATTACAGCATCTGAGTCTGTAAAATACACATTTGTATAAACTCGAGGTACAGTGTGAAGGTCTTTCTGAAACCAAGAGATCACAATCTCTTGCTGAAACGTAACAGTCCTTCTTCCATCTATGTTTTGCTCATAGCCTTGTGACTGGTCTAAATTTGAAGGTTGAGGAAAAGCAATTAAACCGCGAAGAGCGATTTCCTCTTTCTATTATCGACCACGAGGGCTACTCGAAATTATTTCCCTTCGACAGGAAGCAGTTTTGCTCTCGATCGATTGGAATCAATCTTTTCAATTGACGACCAAACTCAAAATCTGCCAACGTTCTAGCCTTCATAGTGCACATATTATTTTTTATTTACTTGCATGTTTTTCTAAAACTTAAAAGTGAAGGACATTTTTATTGTCAAGAAATATCACTTGGACTATGGAAAAAACGTTTAGATTTCAGTGGAAAACAATCGCATTAGAAAAGAAGGTGGTCAACTTTTAAACTATCCATTCTCCATTCCCACCATGGAAACCTCTCAGACTCCGAATTGTGAAAAGATGCAATCTATTTTTTACACCACGAACAATAGTTTAATCGACTTCCCGCACTGCGCAAGCTATTCATAGCACGAAGTTACGTTTATGCAAAAATTGAGCGCCTCTATAGGCTGTTTTCACGAGCGCTTAGAACTGAGGAACGTATAACAAATTGTATGATTGTTTTGAATCGGCAAAAGTACTGTGAAGGTGTTATTTTTATCAAAAAATGACTAATCTCATGAAGAGAGAAAATCAATCTGTAGAGCAAACAGCTTCACATGATATTCATTTCAGATATGTATAATTATCAATTCATGCTAATGGTAATTGTTTACGATTGTTTTGTCTCCAATTCATGCCGTGCGAGAATCATGACTATTTCCTACAGAGATTGGTATTCAAAATAGACGCTTCCTATTAAAAATTTATCACAGTTAATGCACTATCCATAGCAACTACCTTCGTTGACAATTTGGACACAAGAAAGTTAAGCACCGAAAGCAAGTGCATTAGAACCGTAGGTCAGTCTTTTACAGGCTCTTCCTTTCATTTGGGTCTTCAAACAGCTCGAGACCGATTGTTCTAACTGAAGTTTGTTTGAATCCTTAAATGCGACATTTTTGTGATTGAAACTGTGGGCTGAGTGTTGAATACCAGCTGGAACTGCGAATTAGAGATTGAACCAATTTTCGTGTGAGCTGTGAAAGGTATCAACCTCAGCTCCTTGTGTCAGAAGTGAAAACAAAACTTAACTGAGACGGTTTCCCTAAACGCTGAACTGCTGAAATCTCCACATCACCGCTATAACAGAGGAACAAAATGGAGATGCTTTACCCAGGGTATCAAAGCTACTTCAATAGATTTCTTACCAAGCCATTTCAAACCGAGTATAACACAAGATATTGCCGCTCAAATGCACCTGTCCTGTACAGTCAAGTGCCGAAATATACATGGCTCGGACCTCGGCGGCCCACGGTAGCTTCGAAGTATGAGTTAGAGGATGCTACTAAGCTAACCTATCTCAGACCACCGTTTGCCGCCAGAATGACAAGCTACGAACCCGAACAAAAATACCTGGGGCGAAAAATTGGAGGTGCTAGAGATTCCGTGCAAGGTCGCAACAATTCTTTGGAGGGAAAAGGTTACCACTCAACAAAACTTCCGTACGTTCCTACAGATGGCAGGTTTATCGCTTCAACTCCCAAAAACGGAGGCTCGCCTTGTGAGAAAGTTGACCAGGATAGTTCATCGCACGAAAGCTCATCGTCAGAACCAGTGCAACCACTTTCAAGGATGATTTATTCCCTTAGCGCTACAGGTTCCCCAAAATACCCCCACGTAACCACATCCTCACGTGAAAAAGCCTCCGCCAAATTCTCACAGTCACGAGATAAGAACATACTGGGGAGGGTGGCTCCCCGACCCTCAACTCTGTTGTCTAAGCATCCAAAGGACGTACGCTACGTGCGCGATACTTGCTTTTTCCAGCCAACACTGGAGAGAAAGAAACACTACTACATTGTTAACCCGAACTGGTTTTCAGAACAACGGGTTACCGTCCCCAAGAACAATGTGTTCTCATGAAGAAAAAGTGCCATTGTAAGATTTTACTAGGAACTTTCAATTGGTTATTCACAATGCTCGTAGGGAATATTAACTCTTTAAACCCTAATAGTGACTATCATCTAACTTCTCCCTACAATATCACTCCAGAATCACACATTAAGGTCATGAGAATAAAGGAAATGGTCACCAGGAAAGAAGCCCTTTGATTGGAAAACAAATTCTCCTTGTCAGCACCCTAGAAAATGTATAAAGAACAGTGTGGAGAATATGCATACTGATGTTAGGGTGTAAAGGGTTAATTAATGCGGCTCCTCATGTCATAATACATTACAAGTAATAATGTCATTAGTCAAGTTTCGAGAATTTCCTCAACTGAAATGATCCCAGGATGAATTCAAACCCGATCTTCGTTTTAACAATTGATAGACAAAATTGACCACTCAAACAAGCAGGCGCTCATTCGCTGACTAAGTGAAAACTGTGCCGCCCCCGTAAGGAAGAACTCCGCACACACCTGTCCGGCCAGTGACAATTTCCTGCTGAAGTATATGAGTTATGTAACCCTGTAAGGTTTCTATCAGTAACTCCATCAGTTGAAATTCAGGTTAAAATTTATTGCCATGGATCAATATCGCTTAGACTTTACAATTGTAAAATAAAACTGTCAAAAATTTTCGCTTTTGCTGTATCAGCGTCATCTGTGAAAAAAAATATATTTCAGCTTCTTTTGTAAAGTTCCTTATCCTGGGCCCCTGTAAACTCATACACTCAGATTACTTCTTTGAACCCTTAACTTTCAGTGATAAGAAATGACAAACCACACCTTGCATATAAAACAACTGTATTTTTACAGGTGATAAAACTCCTCAAAGGACCAGCCTGGTAACAAATAAAGCTTTCAATTATGAACAATATCAGAGCCAAATCTGTGAAAGTCTAATTTCTTTAAGTCAATATCCTTTACAACTTGCACCACTGTAACCACCGGTATATAAAAATGCTCCTCTACCAATTTTCATATAAATGTAACGAAGTAAACCTCAAGAAAATTGTCAACCAAAGAGTCCAGAGGTGTTGCCCAGAACCAAAAGAAAACATTAAAAGGCTTTACCCTTCACCTCACTCAAGTGTCAACAAATTCTAATGGTTTACTTCACTTATTTTCCACTCCATCTGTATAAAGTAATTCCCTTGATTAGAACATTTTAACCCTTTAACTCCCATGAGTGACCAAGTCAGAATTTCTCCTTACAATATCGATACAATATCAAAGAGACAAGTGATGAGAATAAATAAAAATATTAATTAGGGAATTATTAGTTGATGCATTACCAAATTCTCAAAATTAACATCACAAGAACTATTTGGCAGACAGTAAGGAGAATTACTAATGAGGTCTTGGGAGTTAAAGGATTAAAAGACAACAGCTCCTTGTGCTGTACCCTTTCACCCAAGAAGAGAAAAATGAATGGGTAAAAGAGGAAGGTTGACATGTATGTATGAAAGTGTTTAGTTTTCACTTGAGATTTTTGAGGAAATAAAACAACCTAGGATTATTCTTTATCTTACTTTGATCATCAAAGAAGACTGATCACAAATTGGATTAATTATCACAATGACAATAAATTTCATGTATATGTACCTTCATGTGGTACCCACTATCACAAGGAGCTGTTCTACTGCCAGTTACTTTTGCATTCACAATTGAAAACTAAAATTATTAACTGCAAAAGACCTTTGAAAAAAAAAACTGAGAATTTTGAGGGAACTGCATCAAAAACAAAAAAAAAAACAAATGACTAGCATCCCTACATAATATTTTTCATGTTCTCAAATGTCCATGTTTATAGCTAAAACATCAAACTCAGATTTTCAAGCAAACCAAAGCATAAGATCTTAATCTGTTAATGTACTTTTAAATACTCTAATTTACATTTACATCAAAATAAATGTTTTATTTTTTTCTAGGGATTATAAATGTTTTTATTCTTTTTTTTTTTCCTTAATTAACCTCTAATTGAAATGAAACTAGTAAGTACACTTTAAAACAAACTATCACTGAACATCTTCCTCCTGGGAATGATGTCAATTAAACTGCTCTGAAAATTTCCAAAGAAATCTTAACCCAACTTAACGTTCTCCTCTGGACATCTTAAAGCTACTGGTATGTAATTTCCTTAACTCACGGTCATACATTTACAGTACCTGTAGGCTAATCATACGCATTAAGGGCTATGTAAAGACAATATTCTGTTTATAATTCATTAGTTCTAGTCCTTTGTCTGTTTGACAGTGTTATTGGGGGATAATTCATCTAGTTATCACTATTGGGGGTCAAAGTGCTAGTCAGACTATCCTTGACTTGACGCACATGAACAGCTAAAGACCCACTTAAGTTTCTTATTAATTTTTGTACAAACATGTACATCACAGTTGTAAAATCTTTGATTTTTTGTTGCTTTTTATAATTAATTTTTTACATGGCTAGTTCATTACAAGGTATTACTGATTGTCTCGCAATGTTGCTCAGATATAGATTGAGTCATATCACAAATGGACTGGTAATGGTACCAAACCAGTTTGTTTGGCAAGGAAAAATACTTTGACTAAAGGGGTTTTACCAATCAGTCCAGAATAAATATCTCCTGAATAGAATACACACAAGTGCATACATATTCATGTGTCTACTACCAATACAGACTAGTCCTGATTGTTCAGGCTGAGTATCTTTGCTGGATAAATCACTATCCAGCAGTGGGATGGAAGAGTTCTTATATCTCTCACAAAAACAAGTCACCAACTATACAACAAACAACACTTTATCCAAATAAAAGGCAGGATCCATATTTTGGACAACCAGGAAGTCTATACCTGGTTGCTTAGGATGTGCAAGTTTGGTTTGGGAGTAAAGTGGTGATAAGATTCAACTAAAGAACAGGTACAAAGTAACAGAAAAGCCCATGGCACAATGTAACTAGAGCCAGCCTAATTTACATATTTTTGCCAAAAATTGCTTTCCAAAATACAAAATAAAACAGCATCATGAAAATGCACTCATTAAATAAACCAACAGATAGTATCTCACATTTAAAAAAAAAAAAAATAATTATATGCCAAAGACATGTCAAAATGGTTAACTGATTCAGTTACAGTTTGAAAAGAAATTTAAAATGTACAAAGAGTAAAATCACACAATATTTTTTTATGTCACCTTGAAACATTGAAAAGGTTATATTACGACAAACCCCAAGATTGTCAATGGTGGTTTTGTCTTGATAAATTAAAAAATAATAATGTGTCAACAAGTTCCTCAGCATGGATAAATATCTCTTTAGGGATGGTTACCTTAAAACCCTTGCCTTAGTGGAATAAGTCCAGTTTTCCTTGCTTGTGTCCAAGAAAAAATTTAGAACCTTCACATGTTTTTATAAAACAGTTTTGTTTTACTATTTTGTGTCAAGATGGATTTCCCTGGTAAGAAGATTATTTCTTAGCTATCACAATTGACTTTTTTTTTTCATTTTTCCTTCTTTTGCTTTTTTTTTCCAGTCTCTTATTGTTATCTAGGAAATTGGTTTTTATTTCTTTTTGTTTGTTTGTTTGTTTGTTTGTTTGTTTGCTAGATACCCAAAACACCAAGCCTTTCCCTTTTCTAATAGATTAACAAATGAGAATTTTAAAGGGATACAAATTGTATCTGTGACTCCTCATGTACTGGTCCTTTAAGGCAAATAAAGTAAATGAAACAGATCTCTATTACAGGCAAAATACAGTGAAAAAAAAAATGATTTTAAACAAATGTAAGTAAATATTACTGTTCAATAAATAGAAATTTCATTAATATATCCCTTAGGGAAAATTCAAAATAAAAAACACTCTTTACAAACTATAAAATATCAGGTATACTTAATTATGGCTGTAGCTGTTGTCTTCTTCTGTTTGTATCTCTCACACCTTTTTGACAGCCAGATGAACATTAACCCTCAAGTCCAGTATTGGGTTCCTGTCCAGCCAGTAACTGATAAGACTCACCCATTCACACATAGCAGCCGATTTTAAACCTTCCTCACGATCGGAATTTAGTTCTGCATAAGTAGTATACAACCTAAATGATTTGTTTTCTTTGTACTCCTCTTGCTCTGTGCTATCATGTGAAGGGAATATCAAGTCTTCTATGAAGTTCTTGGTTTGAATGTGAGCATTGTCCACAAAAAGGAATAATGACCCTCGGGAGGCTCGCTTAATAATGTCACGAAGATACTGGAAAGATCCAGGAAGATTCTGGACAGCAGACACAAATTTTGATAACAGGAACAACTTTGCCTGAAGGTAGTAACAAGAAAAACATGTTGTTCAGCCAAAAGTATAAGATCTTAGGGGCAATATACTCATGGAAGAAAAATTATCTTTCTCAAATGGGGAGACAAAATTTCAACATGGCTATTGCTTCCACTGACACTATCACTGACTTTAACATCAACAGGTATTAGTTGAAAGAACAATTTCTAATGAAACTCTTGAGTGGGCCCTTTAAGATCTTTTATGATGTTGCTAATTAAGAAACTGTGTTCTGAAAAATAGCTAACTAGACAGAATTAATAAAACACTACTGTCCAAAATCTTTCCAGGAACCTGAAAGATCATAGAAGAGATCCACCACATTCATAAAAGATCCTGTCATGCCCCAAATCCTTTAAAAAAATTGACTCCCAAAAAAAACTATTTGAAGATTGAGAGTAATTCTACCCACATTATATCATGTTGTCCAGAAACAGAAAATCAAGCTCTCTTTTCCGCACATGGTTCACATTACAGCCATTTGTGAATCATTTATTAGTTCACAAAGAAAAATAGCCATGGACGGTAGCTAATACTGGTCCCATTAAAAAAAATAATAATAAAAAAATGCCATTATATTGATTGAAAACAAAATACAGATTCAAGGTTAGGATAGAGAGAGAATTTTCTTACTAGGAAAAATTTACTTCATGAAAACACAAACACAAAAAAACATCAACAAGATACTGTTACTTACAGAACATAGCTATTCAACTCACCTTCTTGAAAGCATAGTTTGGTGATGGTGGTGAATTTCCCCTGCTTCCATGGCTGACACTGTTACAAATGTCAAAAGCACTGTACTGGAAAGATACATTGCAGACATCTTGCAATAGAATCTGAGCTGTGTGTGACCACTGCTCACAGTTGTCTAAAAGTAACCACTGAGTATTGGATGGAAGCAGCTGATAGAGACCTAGAATCTCACTACCAGGTCCTGCACCAAGGCAGCATACTTGCAACCTAAACAAAAATGAGTTATCACTTGGCCAGTCACATTCATGTAAATGTGAATAACAAAATATGAAATAAAGCAGCTACAAATGAGTTTCTCGAGAGCTCAGTTAGGGAGAACACCATGATTGTGTGTAAATTAACGAGACAATATATAAGCAACTATTTCAGTTCAGTATTATAATAATGTCTTTCTTCAAAATGACAAATGTCTTTCTTTGAGAACAGTCTGTACTTTTAAAGAAACTGGAAAAACAAAGAGAACACATACAGAACACTTCAGGCCCCAATTGTTCAGAGGGTGGATAATGCTATCCAATGGATAAATTGCTATCAGTTGGATAGCGCAGTACCTTTGTTAACGCTTCTCTACTGCATACTGATTTATTGGTTGGATGGTATTATCTGCCCTTTGAACAACTCGGCCCAGTACATTAGTAAATTGTAAATGGCTTTGTAGTTCTTGATAATAGGTTAAAAGTTAGCACTAAAAGCTTTAAAATATCAAGGACTCTTATGACGAGAACATCAGATCTTTGGTATTCAGGGAAAAATCCATTCTTTAGGTCAGAGTCAGGGTAAAGGTATTAAAAAGCATGCCATACCCTCCCCATTCCCCCTCCCCAAAAAGAAGTATGCTCCCAAACAAAAATGATAAACCCCAGTTGCAGATTTTTGACAATAAAAGAATGAAGAAAATGGATTTCTTGTTAGTTTGATTACCCTCATTCAACAAGCTTAACAAAATTTCTGTAAGTACGACTTGTTTATGTACCTTTTTTAACAACATCCAAAATAAGCATTTACTTCTTTATATGAAAAATAATAAAGTGGGGCAAAGATGCAGCCAGTCTGCTGTGGAAGTTCCCTCTTTTGCATAAATATAGTTTGACACACAAGTACACCAATGCTCACTCCTTATCAAGTCTAGTAATTTCTCAGACACATGGAATATATCTGTGGTCTGCAATAAATAACTATAGCAAGCTATACAAACCTCTCTAGATCTTGACTTTTCCTTACAAACTCTGTGAGAGGCTCAAATTGACCTGACGTCACTACAGCATGAATCAAGGTAGCATGGGCTGCTGTATAAGTTCCAAGATAAGCCCATCGTGATTCTGCATCATTAAACTGAATCTGGTCAGTTGCCTGGCTCGAAAATAGTTGTGAAACTCTCAAAAGTTTGTCCCTCAGTGCAACCTTCCAAAAATGTGGATCTGATTGCAAAAGCTTGAGCTCTAGCTTAGTTTTTTCCTCTAGCTGGCTGAATGAAGTCTTCAGAGCCTCAAGTACGTTTATGCAAAAACATTCTGCAAAACAAATGGACCAATTTTTCAAAGTTTTATCACACAAACCATATAACTTTGAGGGTGAGTTGAACAGGAAAAATGGAAAACTTTGTAATCTGTTGCTAACACTTGGACTTAACTCTTGCCTACCCACAGTCAATCAACCTGGGTACCCTTCCACTGTCATAAACCTACTCCTATTTTAGGAAAAAACAGTGCCACAGTTTAAATCCCTAGTATACATGAAATAATTTTTATGACAAGAATTCCAGTCCAACACCTCTGCAGAAATGAAAAGATACAAACTGAAAAGCTATTAAAAATTAGTGCTTTTGGGAAAGTTGAAAGGTCTAATGATGGAAGTTCTTAGGAGTGTAGAAGGTTGTCATCAAGTTTTGAATTCACTTGGTCCGCTTGAGTCTGCTTGTTTTGCTTTAAGCTGTTAAATAATTTATTGTTACTTGGCAGAAGAACTTGAGAGCTAAAACTCTTGGGAATGACTTTGAAATGACCCCAGAAGGAAACAGATGGTTAAAGAGATAACATCAGAGCAAGGTACATTAGTGAGCCATAAATTTGGATTTTATCCTTTAAAAGGTATCTTTCCTTCATCAGGAACATTTTCATGTAAAATGTAAATTCAAATGCTTCTTGTTAAAACTACTCTTAAACTGCCTGAGCTGTCTGTGGACACATTATGTTCAAATATTTTCTACAGTAACTGTATAAAGAGCCAAAGTACATGTATGGTGTCTGAAAAACACTGTTGACAAACTGTATGTATAATAACTTAGAAGTTCCAAATTCCACAATTTTTGATAGTGTCATGTGAGAGTTGGGTTTTCACGAGTAGTTTAAACATAAAGCTATTAAAGAATCATGTCTCTGAAGAATTTTCATCAAGTATATTAAATATTGAACGATGGTGTGACTTTTTTCAGTGGAATGGTTCTACTGACACCAAATTGCAAATTTGATCGAAGTTTCCTCACCGGAAACAATTGGTTTCCGCTATGATGGCAAACAACATGTAATCCTCGTGTAACCTGTAATTTCTTTCAGTCAAATGAATATCGAGAAATTTGCTTTATTAATCAATAAAACAGGCTCCACGAAGATAAACTTAACATAATTTCAGAGAATTAAAATACCTGCATCAGAAACGCCAAATGGAATAGTAAATATTGACCAAGTGCACGATCAACTTTAAATATTTTCATCACTACACAAGCCTTATCATAAAATGAGTGTGGTGTTGTCTCTGTTTAGACGACAAAAACATACAGCAAATTATTTTAAGCAAACGCGAATTCAGATCATCTACACTAGATGACGGGAAAGTTTAGGGTTTTGGTCAAACACAATTTTTTTTCTAGGGAAACACCTGCAATCTGTACGGCGCCTCTTACCTTCCAAACCAGTGCTAAGACTCTTTCCTCTCTGCTGCCTACTTTCGATCGGAACGTTTAGATGTGCAGTGTTTTGTTTAGTTCCCAAATGGCCTTCGTCGCTCTTAGTATAGGACGATTTACCATTAGTGAATCCTTTTGAAACAACAGACGCGTAAGTTGCTCCCTGTTGGGCGAGTGCCTTCCCAAACCGTTCTTTGCCACCTGTCCTTGACGGTTGGATGTCATCACCAAGAACAGGTTCTTGTTGAAGTTTTTCTTCGTATCGATCTCGAAGTTTCCTCTTATATTGCACGATATCTCGCCGGAGTTGGCATTCAAAGCAATCTTTCAATGTTTCGTGCGGCTGATGCTTTCTCCAACTGATAAACGAAGGTAAATACTTAAAATGGCGACAAACCGAGCACTGGCGAATGATTACACTGGAATGATAGCCGGTCTGAAATAATCCAAGCGCCTCGAGAGTTGCGGCACAATCGATACAAATCCGATTTTTCTTGTCAGTGAACCACTCCGCAATTTTGAACATGCACAGTGGCGCTTTCTTGGCACAGCTATGACACTCTTGCAGACGATCGTAGACGCAATCGCCACACACTAGGAAAGCGTTTTCTCTCAAAAACTTGTCTTGTTCTTGTTCTTCACTTTCCGAGTCTGCTTTCTCAGCAAATGACGGATGAATTTTAGTAATATTGAAAAAATCCTCGTGCCTTCTACCGGTGTGGTCGCAATTGAAGCAGCGCAAGACTTCCATCTGAGTACTCATAGAATCTGCCGAAAGAAATCTGAAGTAAACACAACAAGTTGATGGATTCCTGTTGAAAAATTCACCGATGTTGAAAGTTCATGGAGAAAGGAACACACAGACCACAGTGCTTTGCAAGCTTTATATACAGCTCCAGTCCTTTGCCGGCTGCCTAGGGGTGCTAAGTGAATATTTCATAAGTGGCCTGATGTGGGCAGAGTCCAAACTCCATTCTCCTCCAATTGCCGTGTCGTTCAAGGAATCGTACGATACTTTTGGTGAGTTATTATTATTTTTACATATAAATAAAATAACAAAAAAAAATAATAATAATAGTAACTCTATGTCAGCGTATAGAGTAGAGTGGTGTGTTTTTATTTTTGTAAACGATACAGTAATTCAAATTGAAGGTTACTTTTGCCACAGAAGTGGAGACTGGTCAGGAAAGCAGCCAAAACATACATCTCGGCTCCCTTGCCATGCAAAATCTTAATATCTTTTGTTTTCGAGTTCGCATATTTATGTCGAGCACAATTATGGAAGTTTCTAAGTCTAACTTTCTAGTTTCTAAACAACTGCTGAGAAATGTTCCTGAAACTTGTGTACTGTCAGATTTAAACATGAAGAAGTTTTTTCGGCATTTCTCAAGCGATGTGTTACAAAGACACCCACATCCTTTTATCCTTTAAATTACAAACTGTGATTATTTTTAAAACCAAATTAGAAGGGGGTCTTTAAAACGAAATCATGTTTCTAACGTTAATTCTCAGGTTCCTTTGCTTTTAGTCTCAAGAATTTTTCTTGTTATTTCCCAAGATCCCTTTCAACCCTAAATTCGCGCCAAAACGCGGCTGCACCATACACGCGTTGCCGTACTACTACAACAACAACGAAAGCGGCAAATTATCCGTTCCGTTAAAAGGTGCTCTTTGAGTCGGAGGATACAGTCTATGAGGGTAAAATAATATCGCAAGCGTAATTAGTTTCTGTAAAAAAAATATAATAATAATGGCGGAGCTCGCAGAGCGTAGCCCCATAATTATGCAAAATGGTAGTAGTAACCCATCAAGCCAAAAAAATTTGGACTTATGACCGTACGCGACAGTACGCGACCGTACGCGACCGTACAAGGTGCTACTTTTAACATGCGTGGTCAACTGTGCCGCGGGCACGCCAAGGCCACGGCTTTGTCCAGTTGTCCAGTGGTCAGTGCACTGGGCTCCGCGTCGGACGACCCGGGTTCTAGCCCTGGCCGGGGCAAGGCGTTGTGCCCTTGAGACGTGCGGGAAAAATAAATGCGAGCTCCGCTCTTAGGCTCGGCTAAATCTATATATTAACTTTAGCCGTCTTCGAGTAAATAGCAGATTATTCCAAAGTGCCGCGCTCTGACAGATTCTCTCCATTGCCTGAACCGAATTTTGTAGAGTTAAAGAGTTAAACTTTTCTGTCTGAGTAAAGTTAAAGATAATACTGTCATTTACACAGTACTATTCAGCGAAAAAGTTAAAGACTTCAGTCACAGATTACATAAATGGCATTTTTTCTGAGAGCAAACGGCGATTCTGTATTTGGCTTAAAATTTCTGTGATTTTGTGTAGAAGGCCCTATTCTTCTGATATGCCTTCGTTAGTATGTAACTGATAATACTACACTACAATGCTATGTCTAGCTTTCTTTCTGACTGTTGGTGGTTCCTACGCTTTACTCTAACAAAAGAGGCTTGAATGATTACCCTCAACTGGGCGCTTTTGAAGCAAATCTTGCACATTTACGACACTGGAAGAAGAAGTCTTATACAAAGTACCAGTCAAACATGCATGTATATCAAAAAAGTATCAATGATGAATTGTTCAAACTTAAGTGGTCGTATGCAGAACGCAAGTTTATACCAGATAAATCCTGTCATCATGCATTTCATCTCGAGAATATTTTGGTAAAATTTACCATCATTTTTATTATTGAGAATACGGAATATAATTTTAATTTATTTGAAGTTCTTAGCAATTGAATTCACTTTCAAATCAACCTGAGACAGTCTTCTCGTTTGGCAGGGTGAACGCAGTATAATGTTGTGTAGGACTTCCTCTATATTAATTTCTTCACCTCACAGGCGTGTTTCACACTCAAAAAATATTTATTGTTTTCCTTCCACTTCACTGCGAGTGAATTTTAAAATGTAACAATCAAATGCGGCAGAAACGCTAGATTGCTAAATTGGGGATGTGTATATGAATGGCTAATTTTACCCCCCAAAAAGTCAGGAGGAGCAACGACAGCGCTTTCATAAAAAGCATCATCGGAATTAGTGTGAGCACTTCTCCGAACTGTAAAAATAGACGGGAGGAATTTTCAAATGAATGTCAAAAGTGATGCGGGATTACTTAGTGTTTGCTTTTTTTTGCCCTGCGATTGGTCTAGAAAACGTGCCTCATCCCCTGAACCAATTAGACGCAAAACGAAACCCCATCTCGACTCGTTTCCCCTAACTTTGATAGTTTTCCTGTTTTTATTTCGGGTTCTTATCGGCTAATGATGATATTAACCTTTATCAAAATTGGCCATTGCGTTTGCTTGGTTTTGTAGTATCGATCAATCAAAAACTTCAGCTTTAATTTGAAGATGCTTTTTCAAATTCATCCTGCGTAATTTAGACAGGAACTGAATCAACGTCGTGCCCACATCAGCTTCCGTATTCGGTAGAGGAGCTAATATGAGCCTTGAACAGAATAAAGTGGTCAGGCACGCGTTTCTAACTTTTCAAAGTTTATTGTTCAACACCTCTAAATTGATCATATGTCTTCAATATGAAGCTTATATATTGGTGTAAATCTAGCCCGGTGTGAAATTTGTCAGATTAATTGTGATTTACTCACATACAATACAATTACATAGTAATACTGTACTAATATTGTATTTTTTTGTAATTTCCATATATACATCTCTAAATAGCACTTTATTGCGATGGCAAAATATCGAGTAACACTTTTCAATCAATATTTTATATGTACCTCAAACTCGCGCACACTCGGCAACTACATTCCGTGATGATTTTAACGTTTTTGACAACTTTCTTAATTTTCCTGGTCGGACAATTCAGCACAACCTTTAATGTTGTAGAATTGACAGGTGTGCAGAACGAGCAGGATTCAAAAGCACCTTTACGAATTGGGATGTAGAACGATCGGCACTGTCCGTAGCACATGTTGTTCTCAACCATTTTGGACTCACAACCGCGCTTGCGAATCGTTTGTCGTATCGGCTTCGTTTTACACCATGCTTGGCCAATTTCTTGAGGTGTGATTGGAACAGTGATGCCGCCTTTCGATGTGGGCAATCTGTGTCTTCCCGAGGCTTCAGCAGTTGTAGGCTCTGAGACCACTAAAATGAGACCAAGTAAAATTGCAGAAAACAATCCTCTTTCGGAGGTTGGCATGCTGAAAAAAGACAAGAATATTAAGCTCGTTATATTCTTTTATGTAACAGGGCTTAATGAATTCAGAGTATAAATTCTTTAAAATTTACGAGGGAGTTTGGGTTATGGTATGTAGAACATGATGAACTGAAGTCGGGTTCGACTGGTTCCATTGTTACAGCAGGAGTAGTGAAAGCACAGTGATCAAATTTACCTCGATTACGTCGTTGGAAGAATTCAGAGGAAGAATGACAGAAGCACTTATCGGAAGATCAGAGGTTCGATATCCTCTTAGTCAGAATTTTTTCCTTACGAGTATCATGGACAAGAGAGCAAAAGTTGTCAAAGCTGGGTCTGTGTGACTGACTGAAAAGCATCATAATCTTTCACTTTAATCATATTAAAAAGTAGCCTTCATTTCCGTGATAGCAAATGCCGGAATCCTGGCGAGACACAGAATGTTTTGGATTGTGATTACTTTAATGTATGATTGTCATTTTAATTATTAATATTATTACTCATTGATTCAAAATTTAAACGGGGCACCACCCAAGAATTTGCTGTAAGTAATGGTAGAGCATCTGAAGGTTAAAGCGAAAGGTTACTGGTTCTACTTTTTTGTCTCGTTGGGTTAGTTCGCAAAATTTGTTTCACAATGCCTGTGTCATTGACTAAAAACCGTCGTCTTTACAGTTTATCTTACCAAATGTTTTTTATTATTACTTAAAGCCCGCGCGCCATAGTCAGATATTTCACACTAACAAATAACGAGGGTACAATGGAAGTTTAGACAACATCTCCTAACACGCATTCGGAAAGTCTTTCCAGTAGAACTTTGAATTCAACAGAAACTACAGAGATCGTTCTTCCTCTCAAAACAGTCATTGTACTATTTGTATACGCTTTGAGCCGTTCTTGATCAGCCTCAGTAGCCCTAAACTCTGAGTTTTATTTCGTTAAGAAGCCAAGTTCTGTTCGTGGGTCGATAGTTAACATGCGAAATTCTTGATGGTTACACGGCTAGTATCTTAAACGATCAAGGTTCAGTGGACATGAAAATAAAAAATTCGTTTTTAAGTAATAGAGTCTATCGATTGTGCATTATTGGTTAATTTTCCAATCTTTACCACTACCCAACTACATTGTAGAATGACCTGAGTTACGTTTCATGACCGCATCCCGCAAAGAAAAGATACGCTCCCGCAGTGATATTTACCGTACCAAAAAATGTTTACTGGATGAAGAGATACCAATAAAGGCCTTTTGCGTCTTTTTATCTTATTAATAAAATAGAAAGTTTTGAAATCAATGAGTGTAGGAAGTTGAATTGTACTACTGAGGAGCCAAATGCGTCATTGATTTGCAGAAAACGCATTTGATTAATTTAAATACTGTCTTGATACGTCAGTAACGAGCCAAGTAGTAATAAAAAAAATTCAAATCGGCACACAAATTCTTCTGGCCTCGAGTAACATAACTAACTCAGCAAAAAAAAAAACTATCTCAGCCCTTAATTGGCTGTTTAAGGTCTATGAACTACGCCGCATTTTCTACTATCGGTCATGAATATTACAGTAGAGTCAGATATCATTACCAGAGGCAATTAGGGTGTGTTTCATACCACTTACTTGGTTAAAACGAGGGAATCCAGCACAAGATATATGTAACTTATGTTATCCGCCTTTTAGGAAAGAGTGCAAGATTGCATTTATAGTGCCCGATATTCATAACAATTCATTCCTTTGAAAAAGCCGCTCTTCTCGTCACGTCCGTCTAACAACACCAAATGCAAATGTTGAAATGATGCGCCTATTCTTACCTCCGTGCACACCCACGCACATCATGACGGTAGAACACGCACCGCACAAAAACGCCTCGCAAAATATCACGCGACACGCTGAGTCACAGATCTCAAAAGTGACCAGCGACCGACAACTTTTTCACTTTCGTTGAATGTTGCTTTAACTTAAAACTATATTTTGTCTTACTGGTGCCTTGCGACTAAGTTTTTCTTCGGAAAAAATTCATTTCTTCATCACGGCACAGGATGTTATAAAATTATGTTTTAAATTAATTTTCCTCGTCTAATTTTATCTATTCAGAACTACCCACGCGATTCACAAAAAAAACAAAAAAAAAAACGGTCACACACCTTTTTGATTTACTGACGGAAGCTAAGTTTGGTGTTCGAATCTGCGGAATATTTTTCTGTGATTTGATTTCAAATCCTCTGCCCGGAGGAAAGCTTTTGTTATGAATTTATGGATTTAACCCAAAGCTAAGCATATATATTTATTTTTCATATTTCTCAAGAACTTACAGGAAGAAAAGAACGAGGATGTTGCTCAATGTTCTGCGCTGTAAACATTTCCGATTGTTATTCCTAATCTACGTAGAAATTGCTTAATTAGGAAGCTCTTGCTTACGAGAATAACAAATTTGACGTACGCTTTTGTGTAATCATTTGTAGGTATCCTTTTGTTTTAACAGACGTCTTGAAGCAGATGTATTCAAATAACTTGTATTTATCGACACAAAAATTACGAGCTCCTCTTCAGGCTCTAAGGGAAATTTAATAATAATCTCCTTGCATTCATAATTCCAGGCTAGTATAGACATTCATTGAAAATTTATTCTGATTCTTAATTTCTATCAGCCAATTGAATTTAGATCAAAGTAGGCAAGGATAACGAATAAAAGCTCTGTAAGCCAGTTTGAGGTTGTTTAACCTGGATAAATAAATTTGTGTAGGAAATTATACAGTGGACATAAAACGTGTCCAATGACAATTCAATATTTGTATTTATGCTTTAAAAAGGATGGATGTAGTCTTTTTATAGTAGTGTTTGCTAGGAGGTTTTCCTAAAATAACCATTGAACTGGAAAACTGTTGATGCACCATCGAGTCGGTGGATGAAAATTCATCTGATGACCCACGTTTGTTTTTGAGTAAAATTGCACATTTGACACGGATATCAGCCTTGATATCCTTTCACCCATTTCGAGGAGAGTGTTCGGCTAAATTTTCGAATTTTGCAGTTTTGTGAGTGGCTTGAGTTTGGTTGAATTTCAAGTTTGCCTGTAGGCCAACTTGCCGGTTTACTTGACTAAATAAACCGGAAGAACTTGCTTGCGTTGCATTATTCCTGAAATGTCGAGCTCTCTGTTAAGACTGATAAATCAATCGCTTTCCTTTGACTATTTATTTTCTAGAGGTGAAGAATTTTCCACTTATCAAAGATTTTCTTTTTCATTATGACTGATTATTTGCCTTTAATTCAAGTTATCGAAATCAAACCAGTGATGTGTCTGAAATTTTTCTATTTCTTGCAAAATGTAATTGAAGTACTGATCGCAGTTCTTTCTAATAGAAAAACTGTGAAAATTTAGGTTGAAGATAAACAATTTGGAAGAGTTCCAATTGAATATTAACCCAGGATAATCGTACTTATATAGTTGCTCTAATCTCGGCCAATATCGCTTTCTTATGACTTGGTCATTTTACTCTTCTCTTTCTTGAAAAGTGAAGTGTTTAATGGGTTGCGTGGAGGCCCTATGAAAGGTTAGAGGTAAAAATTGCTGGGCAAGGTTTTCTTTATTCATAACCAGTCTACAAAATAATTACAGAGAGAGGCCTACTAATCGAAAGCCAGGATTACAGGGTTTTCGTTTATTCGTTTAAAACTTAACGTTGAAAAGTAGCACGGTATGACGTCATACTAGTTTATAAATCGACTAAAATACTAAGCAAAGACCAATATTGTTCTCATGCGTCTATTTATCGCCAAAGTTTGTTTAAGAAAAGAAAAAAAATGCATATGTATGCAGTCTACAAGAACTCAAATATATGAGGCCTAAACAAGCACATGAATAAGTGGTGCAGACAATTCACTGTGTAAGAGCATCCAACCATCTGTACCTTTTTCATGAGCTTCTTCATGAAGTATTACATTTAAGGCAGTTGTCTTGATCCGATGTATTGCTTTTAAATCAATTTCATTGATGTTCAACCGTTATTGAATCGATGTTTATTTTGATAATCCATATTCGCTAAGTTTTCTGATACTTCCGACCTGATTTCTCATGGCCTAAAGTTGCCACTGAGCCCCTTTGTTGAAACTTCCCGTGATAGCGGGTAATTTTGGCGATATATTAAGTAATACGATAAATTGTTAAAAGTTATCGGTATTGACTTGAATGTTGCTTTAGATCAGGAGCCATAATAAAGATTTTAACAAATAACACTTTGTCGTAAGTTCAGAGTTACACGAAAATGTGCGTACGGATTTGAAAAAATTTACTGGTTCACGAAAATGAAAAGGAAAGGCATTCTTACAAGTGAGAAGCGTCGGCGTTTCAAGCCTTTCTATCGCTGAATAACTTTTTTTTTACACGGAAATTACAATGTTTATGATTAATTGGTAACAGGGCTTCGTGTTGTCCAATCGAGCTATCGAAGTCATCTAATTTGCATGCAACACAATAGTCCGATCCAATGTTACGATATTAGATGTTTACTGAAAGTTAACTCTTATCGACCAATCAGGGTATCTAATGCAGCAATATATAAGTTGATTCAACAAGATCTGTGCCCGTTCTTTTTATCATTTGTTTTCTTTGCTTCTCCCTTGTGTACACGATATTATAATTTCTTAATGTTTTCGATTATTGTGTTTAAACTCGGATTTTATCACTGACTTGGGCAGTATAAACATCTGCTGCACAGTGTTGATTGGTTGTATTGTATATCTTATATCTACTGCTGTGAAAAGACAAAAATATTTTGCGCAAAGTAGGAAAAGACTTGTTTTGTTGATGATAAACAAAATTTAAGAAGTCCATCCTAGTTGCTATCCTTTTTCCGGCTCTGCATTCTCCATCGCTACAAGCATGTCCGGTGGAAACATCGTTCATGACAATTCTGCGTAAGTACCCGAGAAACTAAACTTTCATTAAAAAGGGCCGGGGCCATCATGATTAAACAGATAACCACTGCTTTATGCAAACTGGATAAATAATTTACGTTTAGAAAAGGACGCTTAATGTCGACAGTATCATCTTATGCTGGTCCTTTAGTACTCCATTCATCATAGGATTAGTGTATGGCCAGTCATTCAGAACTGCTTCCTAGATTTTCAAAAGGATTCGCTTCCAAACTGTGCTATCAAAACAAATCTGCAGTCGATTGAATTGCGTGAAATATCTGCGTTGCATATAATTTTGAGCCAGTTTTACTTCAAATTCTCGTTTTATCATTCATATATCTACTATGAAACTAATATGTTCAAGAATATTTAGACTAGCGTGAAAATCAGATTTTCCCCAATTTCAGTGGTTGCGATGTTTGCAAAATGTTTTAAATGTTCAACCAGTTTCAAATTGTTAATGAGGACAAGGGTTGCCAAGGTAAAGGAAAGAAATTATTCGCAGTAAGCATATTTTATTCCTCGCTGCAACGGTTACTTCCAAATTTTAATATGTGATATAAATGTGTTGTATAGTGTGCAATAGTTCTGATGAAAAATTTTTAGAGAAAACGCAGCAGAGAGACTGTTGAAAGCGAAGACAAATTAATTTTTTCCAAGATTTATTTATCGTAAATCGTATTTGTAACGAAATCATGTAATATAGTTTTTAGCAGATAACGAGGTATAATTTCAAGTTCATTTTGGCCACAATTATTTCTTCTGATTACGAGTGGATATCTTCTACATCCATCCATATCATCTGTCGTTGATTAATACCTTTCCTCCGTCTGAAGTTTCATGCCAGGGGCTGCTGCGGAGTATTTGGATAATAGTGGTGAAACAAAAGATTTTCCTCTCAAAAAGAAAACAACAGAACTTCAGGAATCACAGGGGGACTATGGAAAAGATGAACCGTCCTCATTCAAGAAACTTGTGTCGCACTATGCAGCCACTACTACTGCGCATGGCGTGGGGAGGATAGCGGACGCGAACAGTTCATTAGTGAGGCGTTTGATATGGAGTTTGGTTAGTGTTGGTCTGTACGCAACAGTGTTTTGGATGTGTATTGCCTTAGTTGTATTATACATGAAAAAACCAGTTGTGTCCAGAACAGAGATGAGCTTTGAGGAGGTGAGGATATTTCTGGTTTCTCGCAAATAAGGATAGATCGTGGCAAACAGATTATTACAATCTAATCTAGGTCTAATTAAAGTTTACTAGCAGCTCATCAAATGACTTTTCAAAGCTAACTATTTTACATTATAATGATGTGCGTTTTTCGGTTATTATTTCCTTCCTAGTTTTGTTGTAAGCGAGAAAAACTTTTATGGATTTTCTCACCTTAAACAGCATGTCAGTCCGGCTGAAAGTGATGTAAATGTGTTGTATAGTGTACAATAGTTCTGATGAAAAATTTTAGAGAAAACGCAGCAGAGAAACTGTTGAAAGCGAAGGCAAATTCATTTTTTCCAAGATTTATTTATCTTATCGATTTTAAATATTCTTATTGCGGAACAGTGTGGTGAATTATGATATTTAGGTAAAAAGAAGGCCTTTGTTTTGACATGTGCGTTGCTATCTAATCTCTTTTTTCGTTCTGGGCAGGACTTTGATATGTGACAGGATTAAATGTTTTTCGTTGTAGGCGTTACTGGTTATACATGAGTATGCAAATAAATATGAGCCAAACTCGCTCGTCCTTTTTGCCTGGTGCGAAAAAAATTTCAATTCTATTTCTCAAGCTTACCTGAGTAGTTAACACCTCAAAGAAAATATGGATATTGTGTTTTCCGTGTGTGGAAACTGGAAGAATGATAATGTTTTAAATGTGTTATCAGTCTTACGAGAATTTGAAGCCAAAATAAGGGGGAGCTTCTAATGGTTTACCATTCCTCGTTGCAGTCCCTGGACTTCCCTGCAGTCACAATCTGTAATTTGAATATTATAAGGAGAGAAAAGCTGGAAACACTGCAAAAAACAATCCTTCTCCGAGTGATTGAAGGCCTGGAACAAAGAAGTGGGAGAAGACCGACCAGTCTAGAACAGCGAGTTAACATTACAAGCATAAACGCTACCGAAGATGTTATACGACAGAAAATTCAGGCAATAGCAAAATTTAAGAAGGAATATCTTCTATCCAAGGCAAAGAACGCAGACGAGAAGGAGATTTTATCCAACGCTGAGGTGGATACTAAAAGCTTAGAAAATAACTTCTTAGATAAGGTTTTGAAAAGTATCCCTGAGGATGAGCTGTCCAAGGTTGGACATGATCTGGATGAGATGTTAAAGTACTGCCGATGGTCGTCTTTTAATTGTAAAACAGGGTAAGTGAGGGATTTTCCGGGTGTTTTTACTTCCTTTGGAAGTATAGGTCAAAGTTATCCAATGCGAGGTTTTCTTCATGGAGACGTTCAATGCCTGAAAATACCTGAAAACTATTCGTGCATTCAATATTCCTTCTAACTGATTAATGCAGCTTAAGCATTTAAGGGCCCCTACTTATTTCAATAAGTGACAACATACTAACATTTATTATAAAAATATTGTTATCAATGATACTACTTCTACTAATATCACGACTTGTGATAAAGATAATGATAATACAACAACATTGATATTCTAAGTAATAATAGCGGAAACAACGATGAAGACGATTGCGACAACGATTGCAATTGCGATAAGGATAGAGATAATGAATGTAATTAGTTATTGTATGCATTTTTCGTTCTGATTAAGCAGTAGTCTCAGAACGCTTTGGCGCCACTTCTGGCATTGGAAGTACGGTAACTGTTACATATTCAACTCAGGATTAACTGAGAATGGAACAAAGCTTCCTGTTATGAATACGGATAGAGCTGGACCTAATAACGGTAAGTGGTTCCACGTTTAATAAGTTTAGTTTAACCTTCCATTTACCGACATAGTATCTTGTACTTGAAAATCTTTATGAGCTTCATTTAGCCAAATGAAATTAGGGAAGAAATAAATGCTATATTTGAAAAAAGTGAGACATCTACAGTATAGAACACTGCTGGACTGTCATTCTCCACTAATTCGTGTTGCACTGGTAATAGATTATCACAGCTTAAACGACTGGAATAATATTCTTTCTCACTATGAAGACTGCTTTTCATATTAATAAATTCTAGAGGTCTATTTCTAAGATATCCTAACGTTTGAACCAAAACAAAAAAGCGTCGTCAAATACTGAACCCTATGGATCGTAATATGCGTTTTAAGTGGCCCTTAAAATTGGCTCTGCATGGCTATCTAAACCAAGCTCCCTACCTCTCTGTTCTCTGTGGAGAAGAGTGCACTCCTGAAACAGTTTTCCCCTCAAGAGAAACAAAGGAAAAAGCCCCATAGCGATCATTTTAATTTTCTCCATGGTCTTATATGCTCAGATTGTGTCCTTCCACAACCCATTCTCGCCAGATGCACTTTGAACTGAAAAGAACGCCTTAATTTTGTTTAGGTCTAGAGTTGGATATCTTCATTAATCAACAAAGTTATACAAGGTTGACTGATGAGGCTGGTGTCAGAGTTGTATTAACCGACCAATCGCGAATGCCTTTTCCGTTTGACGAAGGCTTTAGTATTCCCACTGGATTTGCAACGTCGATTGGAATCAAAAGGGTGATGGTTCTTACTTATATGATATTATTATATTTATATTATATTATTATTATCATTATATTATGTAGTGGGTAGAATTAATTGTGTTGTGGTGTTGTACAAATCGCTACAATCGGTTAAAAGATAGGCTTGTCTCACATCTGGCTGATCATTGAGGCAAAAGAATTACATGTAAGATATCACGATGAGGTTTAATTTTGATAAAGAAATCATGACTGATATGTAGATTAGTTGGTTTACTATACTCTATAACAAATATACATTTTGGGAGGGCGTTGATTCATGATTTATCGTATACCACTTTTATTACTTAATTGTTCTTTAAAGTTTTTATCACTATTTTACTATCCCATTACTATTATTGTACAGAAATTCGTTAAAAGAGTAGATCCGTATTTAAACAACAGCTGTGTTGACGATGGGAAAGCCGGAGTGGATACTCGGACCATTTACACAGAAAAGTACTACGTAAATTACTCGACCCAGGCAAGACTAAAGTATTTAAAATACGCTTACATTTATACTTTGAAGTCTCCCGTACCGCTGCAAAGTACATTTATTTTATTATAGCGTAGAACCACCATCTTTTACCCTCTCAACAAACAACCATGATAAGGTAAAAATAGAAAAAACACATCAAGAACGTTCTCTGGCGAAAACGATTAAAAAATTACGAGTTTCGCGGCGACTGCCTGAACTGCAGTCTTCGAACTGCAGTTTTCAGGCAGTTGAAAGCTCGTAATGTTTGAATCATCTTACCCAGAGATCGTTCTTAAATTTTTTGCCCTGGCTGCAGCCCTTCAATATTTCAAATATGGTAAGGTCCAATCACTGACTGTTGTTAAATTTGAGTTTATAGTATGCTTATTTTGGGATCAAAAGATTGCCTTGATTCTGTCATGTAGTGAAATGGAAATAAAAAGGGAAACCTTTCCATCGTAAACAGGAATGGAGTATCCTGGTCTGAAGTTGTTCAGCAGTCCTTCCTTCCCCACCCCTTTCCACCTCATGCAACAGATTTACACCGTACCATTTTGTTGAATATGCCTCCGTGCCTAACTAAAACTCTCTCGTTTTTATATCAATACTTTCTTGTATATATTTATCTTCTTAGGCTTGTAGAATGTCGTGTTTAGCATCCGAAGAAGTTGAGAGATGTAACTGCTCCGAAGCAAGATTTCCCATCAACAGTTCAGCATGTTTTAGTGAGGAGCAGAGTGAGTTTGTTGGATCGTACTTGCAATTTCCAGTGATGACAACCACACTCTCACAAATCTTTCTAGTAGTAACAATAGTTTTGAATGAAAGCGATCTTCTCAGTAATGAACATCACATAAGCAGTAGTGAAAGTGAGGCTTGGCAGAAGTTCAGGTGTGTACGGGATTTGAACCCATGACCTCTGCGATACCGGTGCAGTGCTCTACCAACTGAGCTAACAAGCCAGCTGGGAGCTGGTCATTTCGCTGGTTCGTAAAATAACCGTGAAATCATGAATAAATAACATAACCTCTGCGATACCGGTGCAGTGCTCTACCAACTGGGAGCTGGTCATTATGTTGGTTTGTAATAAACGCGCGAAGTGACGAATAAATGACTGTGAATTTATGAAAATCATATTTGTGATCTGCCGATTAAGAAATGAATGAAAGTGATCTTCACAGTTTGTAATAGTTTTTTTCTCCTTTTTACCAACCAGACAAATGCATTAACGATATACTAAGAAAGTTCACAAAAACTGGACTGGATTGTATCGCTAAATGTCCACAACCATGTTTGTAAGTAACAATAAGTTCATTTTTTACGTTGATAAATATCTCCTAAGGCGAAATTGGCATAAAGTAAAGTTGTTAGTAGACTTCATACTTACTTTCCATGTTTTTCCTCTCCCCAGAGAGAACGCTTTCAGTCGTTCAGTTTCAAGTGCACGCTGGTCAACGGCATTTGATGTAATTTTTCCTTTTTTAAGAATATCACCATCTCTTAGTCCAACAGTATTTGAGTTTATTAAATTTAATGCCAATTCATCGTATTTCCCCGCAAATCATGAGTCCAGTTGTCTTGGTTTTCACAGGCCATGATTCGGAGGCTTTATCTCAAGAATCACCCCAAGGCAAAAGACATCGCGTTAAGGTACTAGTTTATTAAGCAATAGCCTATGCCTCATTTCGCATTTTTTCTATAGATTTATTCGTTCAAACACGATTTTCTTCTATTCAAAACAAATATCCTAATCATTCAATTTCAACTGCTAGCGAGGCTAATCAATTGATTTGGGCCATTTTTTTTTACAAGGCATGGATCACCCTCTAACACCTTCTGCCTGAGAAGGATTTTGAATTTTAAAGTCGTAAAGCTTGAATAACCTCATTCGAGCGAAAGACTAACCAATGTAAGTTAAACAAGGGGTTACAAATTTAACCATCTAAAAAGCAGTTGTTGTCTGATGGGTTGAAAGAAGTTGTCATTTTTCCACAGGGACAATTTTCTAAGACTGCAAATATTTTATGAAGATCTGAGTGTTTTTAAAACCATCAACGAAGAGGCATACAAGGTAAACTTATTGAAGTTTTAAATACAGAATGACAAAAACAAGCCGGGTAGAAGCTGGCGACGATTTAACAAAAAAAACAGGTTGATTCGTGTAATTTCTGCTACAGATTGCATTATTTTAACGATACAGTTTACTTACAGTACTGACTGTTACAATACTCTTGTAACAATCAACATGTATTTTAGCTTCCTTTAACGACTTTAATATCGCTCTACTTTGCAGATCGAAAACCTCCTCGCTGATATCGGAGGTCAGTTGGGCCTGTGGATTGGTTGTTCAGTTATGACTTTTGTAGAATTATTAGAATTCATGGCCGACTTGTTGGGTTACCTGTGGGAAAAGTGGCATAAGTAGTTGTCAAGCAGAAGAGGAAAATAGCAACTCAGGAAGCTCTGAGCCCTCTGAGCTTAAATCTTCGCGTGGCACGTTTATTTTTTTGTCTTGTATCAGTCTCTTTTAACAGTATTTTTTGTTTGTTTGCAATCAGTTAGCCAACAGTTTATGTAAAAGTTAATCTGGAGTGTGTGACCTTTTAGTAGAACTCGGTTACTGAATTGGCTAAATAAGAAAATTCCTAGAAAGCTGGAGTATGCGAGGAACAAACTTTATGAAACTTTCTTAATAATTTAAACCTATGAGAACGGTTTTCAGAGCGCATTTCTTGCCCTTACTTAGTGAATGGAAATGCCTTTTAGTGTTTGCCAATACCGTATTAATGAGTAAAGAGGGTTCCCAATACAAGAAGATACTTAAGATTAAAGAATGTCTTTAGGTCTGATGCAAAGTCAGAAGACAGGTTCAGTATAAATGCGTCGAGTATATATAGTGGATTATCTCACAAACTACATGGACATGAGCGCGGTAACCCGTGTTACGTTACGAAACAAGACAATTAAGAACTCCATGTGAACTTTAAAATAACTGATATTAATAAAGATAAAGAACTTTCAGTGACCCATGGCAAACAAAAATGGATATGCCTTACTTTTGGCCAAAATACTGCTGATACAGAAACATTTTGAATCAGCAGATGGCCGAACACCTGGTTTTCCCTATATACTAATAAAGTGATTTCCCTCGGACAAGCTTATGACTTACGAGGTAGGAAAATACTAGAACTTCGAAAACCATGTTATCATGGCACAATCATGCCGGTCATTTGCACTCATTATACAACAAATTTTTATTGAACAATATCATACAGATTATTTTGTCAGAATTAATGTGACAAGTTAAATAACCTGTTTACAAATGACGTCTCTTTCAAGCAGGGAATAGGTGAGAGGCGTTTGGAAAGTGGGGATGAATAAAAGGGGTAAGTTTCTAAAGAAACTGTGGTGCTACGTCGGTGAGGTAGCATGACAAGATTATTTGGTTCTATCAGTTTAGTTGATAATGTAAAGTAGCCACCGTAAAGAGTTTCAAAGCTGACGTTTCGGGCGTTAGCCCTTCGCCAGCTAAAGCTTGAAACGTCAACTTTGAAACTCTTTACGGTGGCTCATTTACATTTTGAACTCAGTCGATAAAACCAAATTATATTGTTCAGCAGAAAAATGCGGAGAAGATGAAACTGACACCAAGTTATGGATGCTTTTTGATTAACTACCAGATTGTTAGACCTAATAATTATAAAATATGTGTAGTAGATAGTAAGGAGAGTTAACATTTAGATCTTGGGAGATCCTCATGAAGCCTAAGTGGTTTCCTTGCAGAACGTATTTTGATAATATAAAATTTACTTAAGCACTTTGAGGAACGATCCTCACTTCATTTCATGGATATCTCGAACTTCTCCGTCTGTGAGGTAAAATTTACGAGCCAGCACCCTGATCATGTCCAGGAGCAGTTTAATCACTTCGGCCACCGTGATGAAGGACACACCGATCCAAAGACCTAGCTGCCCTCCCACGTCACTCATCAGATTCTCAAACTTTAAAAAAAAAAAAAAGATCGTAAGCCTTCTAATGCCATCAAAGCCATAAAGAAGATCGTCTTCTCAATAGCAGAGAACGATATCATCAATTAAATGGTTCGAAACACTACAACTTGTCTAATTGGATGAATGTCGAGTTCGTATGCAATGTTGTTTGTATTTAGCTGGAGTATAGTTTTATCCTCCCTTGCCGTCATATGACATGGACGGAAATGTTTTACCGAGAACTTACTCACTCAATACGACCAACACGTCCTAGAGCCGAGTGACGTATCTTTTGTATTTAAACACGAATGGTGATATTGAGCAACGACGTTACGATTCCCAATTTTTTAAACTTTGCTAAATGAACTTGGTTTGTTTGTTGTTTGGAGTAATGGTCATTGCAAGATTTTTTTTGTTAGCAATGAAGATGTAAATACATTTTTTGAACAACAAGAAAAGTTCAACGAGAATAACAAGATGAAAAAGCTGTATGATCTAAAGATTTTCAAGGAATTTCTCGAAAGTTGCCATCGTGTAATGTCTACATACAATTTGCAGCACTCATAATGAAGCATGATAGTACTCGTTCAATGGCATGCCTACCCTTCAGTAAAACAAAGGTTCTTTCAATTTGCATGCTACGAATTCTTATTTGCTGAAAGAGTCCTTCATCAGTCACGAGATCTCAGAATAAATAAAAGAAAACATAAAACATGGGACCATGTACACCAAGTTCACTAAATGCACTTACTGCATAGTATTCGGAGTATGTTATTTTCTCCATGTTGAGTTCCTCAAAATAAATCTTTATTCTTAGGAAATTTTGCCTGAGATTAAAGATTAAACAAAAGCGAAGATACTCATTAAATTTAAAATATCTAACCGCAAAAATGACTTTACATTGATTAAAGTGTATTCAACACAAAGGGTGGAAAGGTTTATCCCATATTAATAATGTAAGCTTTAGTACAACAACAAAAAATCATCATCATCAGAAAAATTCACAGAGCACATTCAATTACAGGATATTCAAGAATATATCGGATTAGATTAAAACGAAGAAATTAACCTTTAAAATGGATGTGGTTTTCTCTTTATAGGTGAGTGTGAGGAAGCGGGAGTGCAGACCGGGGGGGGTCTTAAGATTACCGTAATGTGTCTTTGTCGTTTCCCATATTTTTGAAATTGGTGTCGCCTTCTCTTCGCATCATTGCTTGAACTTGTTTCTGTAAAGTGTAATAACAATGAAAAATGGTGAATTTTGGTATTTTTCTTAATAATTGAAGGAAGTATTTGCTACTTAAATCGTCAATCGGTTCAGTGGTTTAAATCGCTTGCAAGTTAGCATGAAGGCCGATACAGGTAAAACCTACAAATTATTATTTTGATGACATGGGTAAGCAATCTTACCTCGTAATTTTGAGCCCACGCTGAATTGGACATTGACGTCCTGAAACTCATTTGCCTGTTTGAAAAACAAATTAATTTACTTAACTAGGCAGTTATTGTTTGTGGATGCTTATTTGAGAAAAATTCGCATTTGTATTGTGACGAGTTGTATTCTACGGAGTAATAAAAAAATACATACTGGCAAGGTTGAGGGCACCGTCTTGAACAACCAAGTTCGTCATTATCATATCTCTTTTGCTGTTCGTGAACACATTGCACTGGTTATGAGAATCAAAAATATATTAGTATTTAATCGTTTATTACGATATGATAGGACATTGTTAAGGTTTTAAAACTCAAGGCTACCAAATTGCGCATGCGAACGTTTGGTTAGCAAATGCGATATGAAATATGGTCATAAACCTTAAGAGTACTGTTGTTATGAGTCGAAAAGAAAGTTTACAAAAATGCGATTCAGACTGAGGGCTGAAAAAATCAAAGAAGAGGTAGAACCATTTTTTATATGACCCGTATGGCTGCGCTCACGCAATTTAATAAAAAACCATTATGAAGTGTGAAGTGTGAAGTTTGAAGGATTGGACAGGCTCAAGAGGGCTGGTACGGAGAAAGCTGTCCCGCCGCATTTGTATAGTTCTGTCGCATTTTCCACGGACGTGAATTCTATTTGTAAACTTGAACTTCAGAAAGAAAGAAATGAGGTAATGGGTTGTGTTACCGATTAATTGAGATTTCTTGTTCCAACTCGAAGAATTAAATGTCAATATTTCAAAAACTCACTTGTCATATATGTTGAAACTTACATTGAATGAGTTTGTTAGAGCCAATCACGGAAATATTTTGCTCTCGGTCTTGACGCACGAACCTCTCCGCACTCAGTATCTACGTCATGTACGTCATGACTTCGAGACAAATATTTTCCCGTCTGGCCGTCCCACTCAGTAAATAAAAACATATTCATTTCTGAAAATTTCATAGAACATCATTTCGCCGGTTTCCAACAGCGTGTTAAAGTGTTCAATAAAGACAAGCTCTAAATAAACAAAGAACTTACGTTCAGTAACATTCAAACATATCTCTCCACCCACAGGGAATTTTCCTTCAGTGCACTTGCATTTATCTTTCTGCGCCTCAGCCAGACACGAATACATACAACCCTAAGAAGAGAATTTAAAGTAGCAAATTTACGTCAGCTTTTGTGTTTTCCAGAACTGGATGATAACGTGCTTATAGATGACTCAATGAATTCCTATTTTAGTTACAAATTAAGACTCACATCGACACCAAATCCAATTTTTGTATTTATTTATGTTGTGACCAGAATTTTAATCTATGTCCTAAAAGACATAAAGTCAAAAAGAACAATAAATCTGACATTTCAGCTCACACAAAAGAGAAATTGCTCTGTTGTTTTAAAATTTTGTGATTTTTCTGGCTAGTTTGTCCAAGTAAAAACATGAAGCAACACAATTCTGGTAAATTCAGGAGTTCCAACACTTAAAAATTGCAATTTTACTTATACAATTTTTAGAGTATTTTTTTTTCGAATTGAATGCTTTTTTGCCTCAGTCTATTTTTAATGCAATGAACTTAAATTTTTCATAACTTCCTCCTCATTCCATGTGAGATTTATCAGAATTCAAAGAATTTTCGTCTGCCAACAGTCTTTATTTGCTACGGAAATGAACTATATTAAAGTTAAATCCAGAAAACAAATATGAACCGGTCGGTAATGGTCGCTTGGTGGAGGGTGGGGGGTGAGAGGATTTTGATCGTGTCACCATAAGATTTACCTGACTCCCCATAAGTCCATAAAGCCCAGTAATAATCTTACGAACCTCCCTCCTTGGCAGGGGGATGGGTTCAGAGGATCTTGATTGTGTCAAGATATAATTTACCTGATCCCCCATAAGGCTGATTAATAATAGTAATTGAACTCAGTGGAGTGCAATTTGGGCAGAAATCATACGCGTGATTTCAAAATGGAATGAGTGCACAGTGCGAGTTCGTTTTGAAATCACAAGTATGATTTCAAACCGAAATTGCACGACATGAGGTTAGATTACCACTTTATTACATCCATTTTGAAATCGCACAAATACAGACTTGGTCAGTTCAAATATTTTATTGACGCAGTACTGAGCCGGTCTGAAATTAAGTTCATCCATTTTTTTTGGGGGGAAAGTAAGACTTTTGGAAACAAAAGTTGCAAAATTTGCCACATGATACTCTATGTCTTTTATTTTTCTGCAATTTGATCGGTTACTTTAAACAAGCCTTGAAATATGATTGTATGTTTTGTTTTTAGCCTCCTCATGGTTGGGAAAAGATGCGATTTAAAGCAAAAAATGGTGCGATTCGTGAATAAATCACATCAATTAGAGCCAATCAGATTACAGGGACCACCAGTGATTTCAAAATAGGTGTAATAAATATTCTTATGATCCCCCATCTCCTCATTGGTAATTAATAGGCAGCTAATTTAATATTGCCCACGTTATTACTCTTCAGTTTGGCAACCACTGACCCCCCCTTTGTTTCCCCTAAAAACCATGTGATCGCTCCCTTTCTGGCGATAAATAATCCCTAGTCCCTAAGCTATACCAAATCGTAAATTGACAAACCTGCACAGAATATTTTGAGCCTTTGAAACGCTTGTAAACGGAAAAATCTTCCAGTGTGTCATGGCCATAGCAGCTGTCATTCTTAAAGGGATCCACTCTAACGATATGTAGCTGTTGAAGAAGAGATATAGCTTACGCAAAACCAATGTAGATTTGCAGATAAATCGACACGTTTAATAATGAATAGGAGTAAGAGAAAATGAAGCTGTGAGACTGGATATTTTTGTAGGCCTTATTCGAAAGGAATCTTTTAAAATTTTGTTCTTCTTCTTGTTCTTCTTGATCTGGTTTTACGGAAACAATGTGACATGCACCAAGATGCAAACTTTGTAGCGCATGAATGGTTATAACTTGATCCTCCTCAACTCTACGAATACATCAGTCTGATCTTAAAGTAACTTAAAAAGAATTACACTAGGAATAATGTTTACAACGCAACACAAACCTGTCTTAAACCAATAGAAGTTGAAAATCCAGGAGATACAGTGAAACCCTCGTCAACAGGAAAGGGAATGCTGCGCTGAGGAGTCAGTAGAATACGCGCCCCTGCCTCCTGGCTTATGCTAGGAATATACTCTCCCTGATTCACAAATAAGTCCAGTGTGAGACCTGACAGGAAAAAAAATAGAAGGCTTAGTTGGTCAATCAATTTCAAACCTTCCTTGTGGGAATGTGGTCAGCTGGATTTGCACTAATTTACCGATTTCTTCCAGTAAATTTACTATAAAGCAGATAACGCCATTACCATATTGTGGTCCAGGTTTTGTGCTTGTCAATACAGGAGTCTTTTTACCATCCTTTGTGGCACCAGAATTAAATGTATAACAGTTTCCGTATCTCCAGTTCCACGTTCGTTTCCAGTACTTCAGGAAATCGCTGTGTGTCAAGAGAATCAGACAAGTTGGGAGGATAAGAACTTGGGACGATATAAGGCATGACATGCATAACAAATAAAAGAACCGTTTCCTTTCTCCTCTCTCGCTCTCTCTTATCCATCCTATCCTTTTACAGTCAGGATTGCAGGACTGACTCTCGACCAATCCATGAGAGGACGGATATGGCTTTTACTGCAAGTATCATCTCCTGCAGCGTTATTTCCCCGGGTCTGTTGGGAATGTGTGAAAGCATGTCAAACTGTAGGGGATCAACTTATCATCGCTAGTTATTGGGGTCCTGGTTAGTGTTGTAATGCGACTCCATAACCTTTCAAACTATAGAGATCAATGTGTCATCGCTCGTGAATGGAGTCCTGGTTAATTTTATGAATGTCGTAATATGATTCTTTAATCTTAATAAAAGACTCCATTCTTTTGCATGTTGTCCTGTTGTCTTAACCGGCTTTTCTACGACATATTTGTGGGTATGCAGCTATCCCGTATGGTGAATAACTAAAAGCGCTTTCCAGAAGCCTGTTGGTAAACGGCTTTCTCTCAGATCTTCACGGTCAATTGATTTCGTGGGCGTATCGAAATATCGAGCCAGACACCCTTAATGCATGCGTACTTGTCTTCAATTATTCTGTCAAAAATACCATTTACATTTCGACCATGTCTAATCAGCACGACTTATTTAATATGAGAGGAACTAGTACTATGAGAAATGTTAACTTGTAGAGGTGAGTGAGTGGAGTTACGGTTATCCTCCCACCTTTAGATTTTTAGCGCGAACATAGCTTACATACACGGATACACAGGATAGGTACGAGATGAGAGATGAATATACAAAAATGTTTCAGGGATGAGGCCTTCTGTGCCACTTGGCGCGAAGAAGTTAGGTGAAGGTGAAGTTGCCACAATGAAACTTAATAATTGAAAGAAAATGTTAACTAACATACCTTGGTTTTTCAATCATTAATTTTAAGAGAAGGCTTTGGCTTTGGCTTGTGAAAATGCTTGCAAATAGATCATAAATTTTAGAAAAAGGGAAAAGTCTCTGCTTAAACTCAAAGCCTAAATGCTGACTCCTAGGTTCAAGCTGGCAGTGTCCTAATACAAAGTTTTTTGAGCCACAGCATCCTTGTTTTATTCCTAAGTTAATTTTTGGCCTTTGCCAGTGGACTGCAAGAGTTATTGTTACAATAGCAAACAGAAACTGGCAAAAAGATGAGTCATCTTGGCAGTCCTGTTGATAAAAGATGTGACATCTTCACAACAGGAATACTGATGTGCTAAAGTAACAATGGAAACAGAATGTTATCTTGCATATGCCTAATTCTATATTCTTGATTATTTTCTTCTTCCTTTCTTTCCCAATATTTCAACTACAAGAAGGCTTAGGCTCAAATAATTTATTATACCATTTTTGCCTACATTTATGTCATTCTAGATCTCACAGTGAACACTAATGTAATAGGGAACACAGTTGTGTGGCAGATGATAATGATCAAATGAATAAGTCTACTGAATTCATTTAAAAGTACTATGTTTACACACTAGATGGACAGTACCATTGACACGGATAAGTCTCAAAACAGGTCAAAGCCTATCATTTGGTCAGATAGAAACACACCCAAACTACTGTGTCATGCACCAGGTCTGTTAGTAAGAGCTATTCTTCAGGGTTCTGATATTCAAAATTACACCAGAGTTAAGATAGTGTGCACTTATTTCTAAGAACTCAGAAAACAACACACCAGAACAGATGGGTTCTCAAGGCAACCCACCCAGTTTTAACTTTGTTTATTTACTTTTAGATATGTAAACAAGTTATACTTGGTTTTACTTCCAATTGGTCAAGAAATTGGCATTAATGTCTAACAATGGAAAGCCAATATGATGATAACTAGTTATTATTACAGAAAACTATACCATAAAATTTGACTCTGAGTTACTGAAAACAACTCCTACTTCATAATATGGGATTAACACAAACATGCTGGTACACATTTTGCAATTTATTTTCCAATTGTATACCTGGCCATCCATCCAACATTGTGGCCTTTCTGTGCTGCTGGAACTGTTTTTGTGATAAATTTTTTTTTTTTTTTTAATTTACTGTGGTGTGACTTTCCCTAATCCCACTGCTAAATGTGGAAGAGGGCAGACTAATACAGAGGGTTTCCACCAGCAGCCTACATGCAGTTTTCTTTTTGTTTGACATAAATAGCATAATAATAACATAATTCGTCATAAATAGCACCTTAGATAACTGAAAGAATATTGCCAATTTCAGCAGTTCATAACATTTGGGTATTACACATAATCTGTAAAAATCATGTTCTTTGTTTCACTCTGCCTGTCTCATATAAAACCAAACTTCAGAAGTTAGGTTCTGGGACCCAGAGCCACCATCTTGGATTACATATTAACATTGTTTGATTTGAGACCACAATGAAGAAAGCCTTTGAAGTGAATGTGAGCTAGAGCATCTGTGATATCATGACAAATGATCAGCCAGTCTTTGCTTGTCAGTGAACTGTTAACTTTCTCTAATATACCATTGGATTCTTTGCAATACAATAGTTTACTGACTGTTGCGGATGTATTTTCTTCCGCTTTGAACTCCATCACTAGAGATATAGGCTCTCTTTCAAGCTGGATTCCTATTATTGCAGGAATGTTTTTGTGTGTGAGAGTCTACATGATTTGTGCCTCCTTTACCATCTCTTTAGTGCTTTGCATCAGACATTGCTTTTCTACCACAAGAACGTTTAATCTTTTGAAAGATTTTAAAATGCACCGGCCATATGAACCCTGTCCTAGTATTAATTCCTTTTCACTGATTGGTTGAAGCTCAGATGGATCAATTAAATTAACAGTGGCAAATTTGCTACTGGGTGGTCCTGATTTTGTATTCCTGTCTCTAATCTGGAATAAAGTAATAAACAGAGGAAAAGTGAAGCTGGTCAGCTTAATAAGATTCACATGCTAGATTGTGTAATAAGTGGTAATAGGACTGAGTAGTCTTTGGTCTGTAATCATATGAGTGATAACAAAATCAGACGACTGCATAGTGGAAGTACAATTTGTCTATCACGAGTGTGATTACAGACTGAAACGAATGACACAAAGTCCTTTTACCAATTAATCATAAAAATTACAATTTCCAAATTAAAAAGAACACTTAAATATTGTCATTGCTCAAGGGAAACCAATTCTCTGTTTTAAAGAAAGCCCCAATTTAGGAATCTGTACACTGTTTCTATGGTGATTGAAACCAAGGTTGTGATTGATTGATTTAAACCACAACTTTGAATGTGATTGGTTGACTTAAACTACAACTTTGAATGTATTTGGCTTATTGAACTGTCCAACAACAACTTGGCAAGTAAATTAGTGGAAAATAGGAGTTTTTAAAACTAATCACAATCGAGGAAATTGTAATTCCTATGTTAATAGATTTATTGATAAACTTTATCCCTTTCATATAATACAAACAGAACTTTCCAAGATTCCCTGACTATTAAGGTACTGACCTATCCATGATAAAAATAAAATTTCCCTGATGAAATGGATACAAAATGTCCAGTCTCCTCTTCTTCATTAAAACATTGCTGAGATCATCTGAAATATTTCTTCCAGCATGGTATGAAACTCAGTGGTGTAAAAACTTTAATTTCCCTGACTTTTCCCTGACCTTGAAATTTCTATCCCTGGCCATTTTTTGATCCGTGGTAACCTTGGTAGGGCAAGATCAACACTACATGGCAAGATGGAAGGGAAAATGCTCAAAGCTCAATGACTGACCTTTTCAGACGAAAGTCTGCTTGGCAAACAGAAATGAATGAATTCCCGCTAAATCATTTCAGAATGAGGCAATTTCGGATTCCTTGCCTTATTTTACGAAAATGATTGTAGTTTTTTTTTCATTTCATCATAAAAAGGAGAAGAATTTTGAGGGCTACACTCTCCCCTCCCCCTATGAGTTAATGTTGAAGTCAACCCCAGGACGTTTTGTACAATGCAAGACAATGCTAGTTTGATTACGTTCAGCGTCAGTTCGGTGATATCGTTTTTTGTAACCAACTGCTCATTTTCTGATATCTATTTTATTCTATTTTGACGCTAACCGAGTACCTACCTTGGTTTTGTCCAGGGTCTTTTTATTCTGTTCGACTAATGCTTTCCATTTGCTATAATACATTCGCGCCAAGAATATGCATCTCTTTCCTTTTGTGTTCTCATTTCTCTGTTCTCCCTTTCCCTAGCTGTCCTTGACAATCGTTCACGTTTCCTCCTTTGATTTCGCATGCTGGGTTTTTTTTCGATTGTACTTTCCCGAGATCGTCGTGGCATGATTACTTTGCCAAGCACGCGCCAAAGCGCGCGCTTTTTGTTGGCGATCGTCTTCGGTACTCGATTCCCTGTGGCTGAGTTTGTGCCCGCGTTTCCATACTGATATAATGTTGTAGAAAATTCTAGTGGACAGCGGCCTATCTCAACGCGATAAAACGATAAAAATTAACCGGAAAGCTTTGTTCGCAGTGAATGTACAACTACGAAGAATTAATGTGGATGAAACAGGGTACAAGGTTTATGCAAGGACTACCAGAAAAAAAAAAGTTGAAATCCTCCAAGTATAAAGTTTTTTAAATGTAAAATGCATTTTCCACGCGTTTCAATATCACCCGACCTGTCACAGACTTCTGATCAGATTTATTTATTATTCCCTCATCGGTAGTAGTATATCCTGTGCCAATTACGTAAGTGGAAGTCATGTTTACTGACAAAGTTTGACAAGCGATGACGTGTCACTGATGCCTAACATTCCCTCATCGGAAAATTGAGACATGTATAGGTCTGTTGGTGTTCTGGTTCACTTTCAGTTAAACGACATTTCTGTCACAAAGTGACGAGATTATGACGCCTTGCGGTAAGCATATTGAAGCAACCTGGAGCGCTACCAGATACTCCAGAAAAAAAGCCCATACAAAGCCTTAGAAAAGTTTTCTAAGGCTTTGTATGGGACAACGGGAGGTACTTACAGTGCACGCGTTTTCCGTCCTGTCATGCAAAAACAAAAGACGTACTTCTATTGGTCTGGTCACGTTCAAGTTTCCACGAAAGGTATCAATAACCCTTTATTATAGTTCTCTTGTTATGTTTTATCAATATACCTCACAACTGATTTGAGTAGACCATATCGATGGAAAGGAATTAAAGATCAATTATTTATTAGTACCATAACAAATTCTACAGAGGAAAGAGTTGCGGACTCACATTCTGTTTCTCAGAAAGTTTTGAACGCCATTCCAAATCTCTCTCTCTCTTCAATAAGCCCTCCTTTGGGGAGCTATTGAGGTTAGTCTGCCCACACTTCCCCCCCCTCCCCCGTCACTTCCCCCTCCCACCTCCCTCCTAACTCTGCCGGGGCGTATGAGAGAGTTTACGGTGTATAATTCAAGTACTGTATAGTTGGGCCTTTTCGTATTCCACAATGCCTTTCGATATAAACCCATTGTAAGAGTATCCGATGTACTTATCGGGAAGTTTAAGATTTATCTACCTATGGCGGCAGACGATATTTCTTTTCCCTGATATCTCTCATCATGTTAACACAAAAACAAATTCATCCTTTGCTTCTTTTCAAAATGGTTGTGAAGTTTCTGTAGCTTCTACTTACCCATCTTTACACGAAAAGTCTTTCCAATTACAACGAAACACCAATTCATTAAATTCATGTCCCGCATCCATCAAATCGCTTATGTTTTGCTTGGCTAACGTGCTTAGAATCAGATATTCAGCGTAGGCTTGTTCGTCGACCGTAACATTGCTCAATCTCATGTGTTCCTCGGCATTTGAATCGTCAATCTTTAAAGATTCCTTCATGGCTTCTTTTTGTCTGTCCGGAGGACCGAATGAGGTTGATGAACTGCCGGAACTCGACTGATTAGCTGCTGCACCTTCCTTATCGTGTTCATGTCCGTCTTTTGGCGGTTCTCGCTCCATAAATTTGTCAAAAGTGCTCACGATTGCTTCTGCGTCCCCAAAGGAACGAATTTTGGATCTCCTTATAATGTTAAGGTTACATATGGTCACTGCAGGAAATTGAACTGTCTGTAAAAGAATAGAGGGATGATAAAAACTGATTATTAGGTGTAATACAGACAATCTTGGTTTAGGGGATAGAATTGACCTTTAATGAAAATCTACACCTTAACCTTGTTTGACTTTTTCGCCCCTAAGATCTCATAGCAATTTTCCTCACTGTCTGCTGTGCAATTCTTATGTTGTTACCTCAGAAAATCGGTATTGGATCATCTAAAAACCCTCTAATTGATATTTTTCTCTGTGTTCTCGTCACTTATCTGCTTGACAGCGTATTGATGTTGTAACAAGAAATGCTGTCTTGGTCACTCTTGGGAGTTGAAGAATCAGTCAGTGTTCGGGTAGAGCAACCTTGGTAGCAATGGGAAGGTCATAGATTTGATATCCTTCCTCTCTTTTTTTATCCTGTTTCCGATTTTGGCTCTGATACTTACATAACTTGATCGCCACTAAAACATTACTGAAATATCAGACACTGGCAATTGCAATATGGGAAGAGGGAACGATATGTTATTTTTCTTTTCTAGTTTTTTGTTCCACGGTATAAATTTCGCGCAGCCTTTCTCTGAGATATCTGTATCACTTTTTACAAATAATTAGCCCACAACTCACAACTACTACACGTTCCCGATTCGCAAATCAAATAAATGAGTAAATAGATTTAAATAGACAATATCTATTACAATACAAAAAACCCAGTAACATCAAAAGTAAGCAAAACAACGTCCGCATGACTCACCCTCACGTACGTGACGTCAATATCAGACTTCGTTGGTTTGTCGAGATATGTTTCCAATAACAAAATCCCTTGAGATATCACCATACCTGCACAAGTCAGAGTCACCACAACCCAAAAACCACACCAAAACCAAGATTTGGCTTTCGCGGTCGAACCTATCTTGCCCACACCATGGGCACTGGTTCCATCTGCAAATTCGTAGAGTAACTCTCTAAGAGATCGTTTGTTTTTTGTCATTATGAGGTCAGCTTGACTTGAGTTTATCTCAGCGTTCACTTTCCAGGGGTCCGCGGGAGAGGATACTCTTGATGTTGCAGATGTTAGCTCCGTGCTGAAAGAAAAGCACCATTAGATGGTAAACAATGAGATGAGAACTGATCGCGCTATGATTGCTTCGAAGTTCTCGGAAGGGGGCTAAACAGAGAGAAGGATTTATTGGAGCGTGTGCGGTAGAGTACATCTTGTCGTGTGTCTTTACAGAGACAGGTTATAGATGACGCTGAAACTGGTATGGCATGAAAATCGGATACAATCCATCGCAGGTCGTGAAACCAAGTTTTTCACATCATTTCTCATCTAAAATCTTGACAGGCAAACGAAAAAATGAAATGTATTTGTTTAAGTACAGCAGCGAAATAATTAATAGTCTCGTTGAGCAGAGAGCACGTGCGTTCGTCAAGACCTTGTGCAGATCAAACGAACTTTAAAAAATTTGTTTAAAGACTATGACAGAGTCTAGAACTCAAAGAGTCGACTTAAATTTAACGATTAGGTAAGGATTTAGTACCGTGTACGTAAATGAAAACTTGGGAAGAGCAGAGGAACAGACATCCAGCTTTTATATTGAATTGCAATAATTTTCAAGAAGATTGAAAATCCAACTTCAACTTTAGATGAGTAAAATTTCTCAGGTTTGTTTCGGTTTCCTCGGTCTCACGTCACATTTACACATTCGGTTTTATTAGTTGTGCTTATGTCAACAACACAGGCGTCATTAAGCCGTGTGAAAAGTCCACATAACTTGATATTCATATTCAAATAAGTGTACCCACGATCAGTCACCATTCTTTGTAAGTTGATTGAACAGAATTGTTATCCACACTGGAAAACTTTTCTTTAAAAAGCTGGAGGATGCAATGAAATCATGACTGATAGCTCCGGCCTTTAATTATCCTTTCAGAAAGTGAGAAATTTTATCATAAAACGATTTATGATAATGTAATTGAGATAATCGGGATTAAAAAAATGCGTCCGAACGAAAGAGAGCAAAAGTTTATCACTAAAAAGCTATGAGAATACCGTACACCTGTATTAGCTAGCGGTATTTCAAATGTTGCCAAGTCAAAGCTTTACTTCATTATACATTTTAATACTAAGCTCCCAGACTTAAGACGGTGTGGCTTTAAACTTTCAGTGCACTCCGTTAAAGATACATTTTTGAAGGAAAATAAATAGGCTGCGTATAAAACCATAGTATCTTTCCTTTAAACCACTGCTTCGCTATATTCGTTGCATAATATGATGATTCAGCTGACCAAAAATTTTCCAACAACATCGGTTGGATTAAATTTTATCAGGAAAATGTCGTTACTTTGCTTATGGCCACAACTCATGTAAAAATCCATTTGTAACTTGATTGATATCCTTCCGGTAAATTCGGCACTTACGTAAAGAAGTTTGTCATTTTATCGTCACATTACGCATGTTGTCATACTACGATCTGCATAGTCATTAAGTTCGGTATTTACTTTAAATCACATAATGGTAAATTTCTGCTAAAATCAACGTTTCATATATCTCTTGTTGGCTCCACAACAAACTTGACCACGAACTTCAAGATGTAAGAGCCGTTTTGAACAGTAAATATTAAGGGCTTTTCCTTTGTATCAGATCAAAGTTGCGCTTTCAATTACCTGTATGACCGGGGAGGAAACACCATTCTCGCCCACCGTTTTGTTTCTTTAGCAGCCATACTCATAAGATCGTTTTAAGTAGCACTACCGCTTGTAGCCTTTTCACCGCCGTTTCTGTCGCTTATCTTTCGTCAAGTATGGTGCTGGTCTTCCTCTGTTGTTATTCCCCTATTATCCTCTATTAGAATGCGTTGATTTATGATCATAGTGCATCATGATATGGCGACATAGCCAACTGCAATGCCTAAATCTTTAATCCAACCTTCTTATATAGTTGGCGATGTAAAACACATTACCCTGTCAACGCCGCTTAAATACGTGATAACACGAAGCAGCTGTATTTACATATGGATGATCAACACCATTTTGAGTTAGCACAAGAAAACAAAAGAGGTTTAATGACGCAGTGTGAGAAACTGATAAAGTGGAAAGTTGTATTATAGAGCATGATAATGATCACCAGGATGATTAGAACTCAAATGACCTTGATTTCATTAAAATTTAGCCTACCCTCTACAAGAGGTGTCCTATCTGCCACCGCCATCTCTTTTCAACGACCAGAATGGACTCAGATTTCTCTCTCGCACCACGCTGACCCATACTTGGTATCCTTATTAAAACTTCCTACAACAGCCACCTCAATATCACCAACAGGCCGAGGCAGGCGAGGCAGGAGAGTGAAAGAAAAATGAAATTGACTCGCTAGCCTTTTTCAGTTGACATTGTCTTAGCTCTCCGCCGAATCAAAATGTCGGAACATGCTAAAGGCACATGCACGGTGACTGCTGTAGAAAAGCGCACCCGTATTGTAATGATAATCTTCATTGAGGTGACTTTTTCATATAAATATGGTTTTCAAAAAGGATCTCCTACCTTGCCTATCTGTAAATTCACGCGTCACGTATTATTTTTTGGCTCAATCACGTTTCACATATAAAACCTTAACCAGCCTCACAATGAAGTCTCGGCATTGTAGAAATTACAGTCGTACGTCGCAAATGTTTTTTCTGGCAAATTGAAGGATGTATTGTTTATCGAAACACAAGGCTAGATTTAATTCCGCGGCGTTAAGTCAAATTTTAGCTGAGATTTATTTCGCTGTAATGTTCAATAGTGTGCGAGCACATGGCAGGTGGGCAGACTTTTTTTCTCACTTATAATTGATGCAAAGCACTTTGTGACACATTTAAACGAAAGACAGCGAGAGGCCTGAAGTAAATAACGAGATTCCCAGTTGAAAAACGTGCTTGTGATTTGAAAGTCCGGTAATTTACTGACCTCTTTGGTTCTATTCATCTATCAGTTAACAATTTCACAAAAAAATCGTTTGAAATTGAAACAGCATTGTTTGCACAGTATGCAAACAAAGGGATCCGCTTAATATAGCTTTATCAACTTTGAATTATATTTCAAGTTACGAACCTTACTATAATCACGTTGTTTAATAAACGTGGAAAATCTTTCTTGAGATATATGTGTCACTGAAAACCTGCAACTGAGAAGCGACTTTGTATGCCAGTTAATTAGCTTTTCAAACATTAAATACAACAATTATTTACCTCTTGAAGTTTAATCAATGGTCAATCGAGTGAGCTGCAAATCACGCCCCGTAGCTTTCGCTTGCCCTCGTGAATTCAAATCAAGATAGGAAAATGATGTTGGATAACTAACCGATTTGTTGTCCAACCCATATAAAAGCAAGTTTATACAAATCATTATTTAAAATGTTTACGCTGCACTTAAGAAATTTAACATCGTGCTGGCGCATCTTTAGCAAACTCCTATGGCAAATTTCCTCCTTTTCTGATATGATCCGCCCTGTTTTGATTCTCAATACTGCCTGGTTGCTTCGCAATGTTTGTGAAGGACTTTTGAGTGCAACATTACAGATATAAACAAGACCTACTTACTCGTCGTTTACGCTCTCAAGCTCGCGTTTGAATTTAAAATAATCAGTTGTTTTTTTTAGCGATACGCAAGGCATCAACCGTATTGCATCAGTGTGAAGCCATATCCCAAAAATATTCTCGCGTATTTCAAGGAAACGTTTCATATTACTCAGCAACTAACCTGAATAAGACAGACCATCTAAAACCATTGCCAATACCTAACAGAGCATGCAACAGATGAAAACTCACCTCTGGATTTTTCTTTTACATAATGATGTTCTTCACCAGAATTTTTACGACTAGCTGACAGGAGTTCTACAGAAAGCACTAATATTTCTGTTTCTGTTTCACCGAGTAAAAAAGTAGATGAAAACGTTTAACTTAATAATAATTATGCACTACTTTGTCGGCTTTATGTTTCTGCCGGTTGCTATGAGTTTCAGCAACACTTTTTTATTTTTCTCCCTTTTATTGAGGCGGAGATGATATGTCGCCCTCTGAAATTACGAAGAAAGACGAGCGGTATATTTTATCAAGAATTCTAAGGACACTTTTAAGAGCTTGTGGATGAATGGAAATAGCTCCCTTCTAAAAGTTTTTAGTCAATTACTAGGTTTGCATGGTTTTTTTGTTTTTCAAAATTTATTCCGGAAATCTCTCTTTCACATCTTAGGAAGTGATCTACCTTTAGCTTTCACAAAACTAACTTATTTTCCACAAAACACTGTCATATTGCGCATGAGCAGATCTTTATTTGTGAGCAGTTATTTACGGATCAAGTAGTGGGCTCACGGTGAACGAAAAGGATGGAAATAAAGTATTTCGAATGGTAATGAGGAACGTTTTGTAGGTGTGGGCATAATACGTCAAATTGTCGTAAAAGTTTTAATCCAGTTATCTTTTACTTTTTCCTTTGATCTCGAACTTACAAATCTTCCCCAGAAAAGTCGAATGTTATGCCGCAAAGAGAAACCATTGAATTAAAAGTACTTCTTCGCAGAATGATCAACACTTGATAGCTGATTGAAATATTTCATGAATTCTATTAGGAGGACCTACTGTCTGGATAATGAATGAGGATTTAGAAATTTGTGAAGTGTAAATTCAAATTGCGCAACGACCATTTGAAACTGAAGATGACACTGGTAATGCCAAAGCATGTTTTGAAATCTGAAAACTTTTGTTTCTTTTATAAGAATTATTGTTACTCTGCTTATTTTCTTATCGTTTAGAACTTCCTTTTTATCACTATGTTCAGAAGGACTTGCATGGATTTATGAGAACATGCCAAATTCGGTAAACACAGAACCTATATCAGTTAGACTGGTTTTATATTATTTCATTCTCTGGGCTAGACTTTCCTCTTGATAAAAGCAGCCTCAAAAGACTCACCCACAATTTGAGGTAAATTCTTCCACTGCCTGATTACGAAGTTGATTATTGAATGTGTATAGGTGTAATTCAGTTTAATTCCGAGTCCCTTCCTTTGACGACTATCAGTTTTCACCCACAAACTAATGTCGATTACAATGTTTACTTGAATCACCAGGACCATTGTTAATAGCCCACAGGCAGAGGAGAACTGATTCAAATTTATTTTTGTACCTTATGGATTCTCACTGTTTAATTAGGAAACAATACAGACCAGAATTGCATAAAATTTCAAGAAGATTATCAGCGCGTGGGTAGCATCGAACCAAATGAAATTTACCCTTAAGCTTCCATCTATTTTCACTCGGTGCAACCGGGGAAACCCCTAGATTAAATTAAAGGGGATTGTGCTTATGACGCAACTCGCTGCCATCAATTAAAAGCTCGGAAGAGGGGACAGGTATGGGAATGCCGTTGGCAGAAAGGCAGAAGTTCGATCGGATGTAAAGAATCTCCTTAACCGGAGTTCGGCATGATTATTCACAGGTTGTACTTCGGAGATTAATCTTTGCTGAGAACATTTAATTGAACATATTTCCAGGTTTCTAAATTTAACTGAGAAGTATGTAACTGTAAAGATGCATAATTGCAATCCTTCTTTGCCAGCAGGTGTACAAAAAGTAATTTCCTCTCCTTATTTATGCCAAGTGTCTTGAAACATACTTCAGGCAATGTATGCAGAAAAACTCTAAAATAATTAATATGCTCTTTCAAATAACACCTATCACGCCATCCCTATTTCAATGCCTTGCTTTATCTTCCAGTCCTTATCAGTTTTAGATTTGTTTATATGAAATTGTAGCACTCAAAATCATCTGAAATTTTTTGATTTGTTTACTATGGTTACGAATTTTCATATTTCCTGTGCAACTTATCTTTCCTTAGATCATTATGACTTTTTTCGAAAATAAATAAAGAAACATCCCGTCCTTCCAAAACTTAGACTTGTGAAATCTGCGACTGAAAAGAACTGCGCGTTACTCACTTTCTTGGAAGATTAAATAGTTACTCAGTGTTGTAACTGATGAAAATGAAATGAAATGAAAATGATTTTCAATTCTCGTTTTTTTTGACGAATGAACTGAAGGAAAACGTTTGTCGTGTATAAGCTTACCTCTCTGAGCGATTCTTTGTCATAACTCGCTATTTTGAAGAGGACCTTTTCTTCAAGAACCTCACTCAGCTTACTGTGTTATCAAAGATATATAGATCTTGTCACGAACACTGTCAGATCAGTATTAGAAACGAAGACTCACTAATGTTTCGAAACGCTGTTTGATCAAATAAGAACCTGGTTCTGACCTTCAAAAATGTCAATCTCTGCCAAAACTTAGCTGAGCGGTTGTTTTTAATTATTTAAAGCAAACTTCCAATCATATTTGCCAGCTTTTAATATTATTTGCAATTCCAAAGTTATCTTCAGTCCAACTTAATTACAGTTACCCTGACTATTTTGTTTTATCGCCGCGGTAAGGCATAAGATCAACATAGCAGTTTTAATGCTACAAGAAATACGACGACCTAGAGCTCCACTTGAGGCGATTTCATGTTTAGATGGATAATTTCGTAATTTTGATATGAGCAGTTTCAAAATTTTCCATATTATTATGATCCCATAACAGTGGTACTGGAAACAATGAGCTGGTGTTTGTATAGTCTTAGTGATAAACAATTACTAATTACATGGCCCGTCCTAAAGGAATAATTAACGACAATTATAAACATTTAAAATGACTTATTCGTAGAAACTCAGTTCGAAAGAGTTGTGGCTCAATATCTTCCACTGGGTAGATTTGGGTCTCAAACAATGATAAAATCTCTTCAAAATTTTTGACTCATGTATATACCTAAAGAATAAAATTTCCTTAAAATTCAACTTCAATTGCTTCAATTCCGTGGTGACAACCTTTCCCTGAAATCGAAAGCGTATTCAGTTTCACATTTAGGACGGCATTATAAGTGCAGACGAAAGGCTTATTTCTTGTCACATTACATTTTTTCAATTAAAAGAAATCCTGGAAAGATTTTAATTGTGCGCCATGTACTCAGTGCAACCGGTGGTGACGTAATTTCATGCTGATAATTTATGATATTATGCACAACTGGAAAAAAGGTGATTAATGCGTACTCGTTCAATTACCACAAGCCTGGTCGGTTTATAAGCTACCCGTAGAAAGCCTTATTCATGATCGCACGTATGAAGGATCAGTTAATGTAACAACACGACCCAGTAAGAAGTGAGATCTTAAAGGATATCTAAGCATTGGAGCATATATCTCACAAAAATATAGCGTTTTCTTGTTGCTCTTCAGGAACTGAACTACATTTGCATCACACAGGAAAATAACTTAATGTTATTGACACAGAGTAAGATAAGTCATTTGTAATTAGTAATTACGTTCACATACACACTAAGAAAACAAACTGGAAAAACACGAACGTTAAAAGGCCAAAATATTCGTTCAAATCAAAGTCAGCGAGAGTGAAAAGAATAAATCTATCGAAAGTTAACTCCTAAAAAGTCTGTCGTTTTACAGCAAACATTCAACCACACCATATCAGACGGATAATGTTGAATTAGGGAACAAATTGACTTCAAGTTGAATCTATCGCGAATATGATGGAAAGACTACTGTTGTCAGTGCTTTTTCAGTAAGGAACCCATTTCAAGCATTAGTCAAACATTTCGTAAACAAAAGACTTTTTATGTAGGAAAAAAAGGCTTTCAACAAAATGAACCGTTTGGGAGAAAATGTAAGAAAGATTTATCAAAATTGTTTACGAAAATAGTGAAAGCAAGACCCAGTAAACTTTTAGTACCTGACTTTTGGCTATGAGCAACACAATGGCGAGAAGAATCAGAGTTTAAATTCATCCTTCATATTTGAAGCCTACTCGTCTCCAAATCCTTGGAATTGTCTTTCATTAAAATGGGATAAGTTTGAGAACAGGTTTCGTGAAAAGCTTTTGGCAAACCGTACCTTTTAAATATTTTTTTATTTACTCAAATTTCTTCCATGAGTCGGTTAAATATCTTGAAAGGAAATTTTCTTGAACTTCCAGTTCTGCTCTATTATAATTACACGTCTAAAATGATGAAACTATTAAGCGTTTGTACGAAAAAAAGGGTTTACTTACGTTGAGCTGAATCCGTGTACGGCTACCAATGCTGTAAATACAGGATCGAACGGGCTTGCAAGTATACTTCTTACATTTAATCTGAAATAACATGATCAGTCAACATGATAATTTGATCGGGTAATACAATGTAGCTCAATATTTTTTCTGCATTTTTATTACAGGGTTCTTATTCCATAGCAACGAAATGTTATGAAATAAACTTAAGGAGGGTGGTATGTTTTTTTTAATCAAGCAGTAGGGATAAAGGAGGATATGATTTACTTAGAATTGGCATTCATAAATTTTGGTAAAATTTGCTACTCCCACTCCATGCTAAATCTGTGCGGTTTATTTGAAAATATCGAAATAAACTTCATAGGGGCGGACCATTTTCAAATTAAAATGAATAAATTAAGTGGCAAAGAGTAACAGAAAAATCTTTTAAGCTATTTTTTTTATGAATTTGGCAAATTCCTAAATCAAAAGTTACTTTTTGGTTGTGTTAATTTATACGGTTAGTTTAAAGGTAAATCACTTTTTCTTGGAAAATACAGCTGAGTGCTATTATTCCCAAACCCCCAAAAGAGTAGCAGTGAGAGACACATGAATGTAGCCTCGACATTCATTGTCTTCTATGGATATGAGGGGGCATTTTCTCTTTTTTTAAAAGTAATCTTGACGAGGTCGTCGGATCAAAAAGACATCAAGAGTAACTGAATGTATGATCTTAAACTAGCACCAAATGATCTGAATTCCGAAAGATAAAACATGCTGCAGTGCGATAGACCTATTACGCTGGATCAACGAGAAAATCAATGGGAAAAGCTTGAAATAACGCGCCAGAACTGTCCAAACGAGCAATTTTTACATTTCCCTCACGGAGAAGACAGGAATTTATACACAGCAGTCAGTGCGAAAGCAATCAATGCTCAAACTTTTGTGAAATGTAATCTCAATCTTGTGTTTGTTCAACCCTTTCAGTGAACCTTTGTACACAAACTGCTTTCAAGTTCTACCAGTGATGTAACTAAAATAGTAGCGAGCAATCATGCAAATTAACGTCACCGATTTCGTTTGCAATATTTTCTTTTGAATTAAGAATGACAGAGCCGCTTATTCTTATTGAGATAATATTAAAACAATACTTTTTCTTTTTGTCTTAAATTAAGACAAACCGTAGCTAGACTATGTTCCAAAGTTTTTTTAAACTTGTAAATTCACTTTACTAATAACACAAAATGATTTGGTCGTCAGGTACAACCCTTCGACTCTCAATACATAACTGAACGAATAAGCTCAGTAGTCCTTATATTGAAGAAATGAGCAGTACAAAACGTTTTTTTTTTATTATTGGGTGGTTAGGGCGTTATACCAGGCTGACTTAAACTATGGGAATACTCCCGAGTTAACCTTATCGTCGTCATGAACTGTTATCGCAATGTTCTCATGCAATCATATCCCTGAATGGTGATGTTGAACACAAACTATAGAAACGAGCTGTTTCGGACCAATGCTGAATTACTAATGCTGATTAGAAGAAACAGTACTAACCCATGCAAACGAAATCAAGAAAAGTAATCGGCTACCTGAAATCAAACTTACCTTCAGAAAACCACGTATCGAACATGAAAGGGACGTACAACTTTCTCAGTCGATCGATGTAGGAGCAATTTGATTTTTCTCGCGGTTTGTTTTCAGGACTTGTCGACCGGAACCTTTTAGCAAAGACGATTAAATCAAACTGTGGGAGACTGAAAACTTTTTTGTCTTCTCATTCAAATCTGAGCCGCCTAAGGGTGTAATTATTAGCGCTTCATGATGAGTTTATTATGAAGTCATTTGAAAAGTAAATGACTTCTCAAGAAGTTAGCGATGGACAGAATTGAATAAATTAAGTCACGAAAATTAGTCTTTCTCTTCAAAAAATTTGTTTTCTTGTAATAAAATTGACAAGATAAGACTTTGTTTCTATAGACTTTATAAGAGAAGCTAAAAGCGGCTTACATTTATGAGTTTTAAGAGGGAACAACTTTTATTTATGATGGATTTTAACTGAAGGTTACTCTTCAATTTTTAACCCAAAGTAATCTTTTTTTTTCTACCCCCTTCCTTAATGTCATTCGCTTACGTTCTTAACGAAAAGATAAGAAAGGAAAGACTAAAGAAGTATCAGTAAATAGCGAAAAAGAAATATGACAATAAAATAACCAGCTTGAAGATATAGAATACTCTTGGCTTGGGAAGGAAAAATTCTTCACTACAATGTTCCTGATAGAAACTCATAAAACAGCTTGTTAGTAGTGATTATTACCTTAGTTCTTACCATTCCTCATACATGTTAATTGATCATAGTGATAATCATTTTAAAATGATCGTTAAAATGCTTTCAAACGGATTTCTTTTATCGATGATGACTGGTTTATCCTGTTTTTATTTAGGTTTAACATGGAACAACCAATCAAAAGCCTTGATTAAGCTGCCTTGTTTTCCTTCCTAACTTTGCCTTAGAAATCAAGACTTTTCTCTCATCTTAATTAGAACAACATGATAACTGTGATATAAATTGAAAAACAAAGTTGTCAGAATTTCTTACACTCCCTTCACGAACGTGATTTTCTCGTCATCAAATCTAAAATTTAGAAACAAAATATTTTCCAACGCACGCACTACGTTTTTAAACCGCTCATACTGACTAAGTAACTTTTTTTTCTTTAAAGGATCGATATCGGCCTTCTCAAGGAGTTTAATGTCAGTTTGGAAGTATAGTTTCTGCTATATTTCAGACTCCAACAAATACCAATATAAAAAAGGTAAATGATTGGAAAGATTGATTCCAAACTAATCTTTAGACTTAAGGACAATGGAAACTGAAGATTCGTCTTAGTGCTGATGGGAGTTCATTTTTTGTTTTCAATACTTCAGGCCTATTATCAAACATTCCATCTGCGGAAAATAGACCATCGTGCTCATCCGCTGTTGATGTCTAAGTGGGGTAGTTGAGTGTAATATTTACTTCAATCCTTCACTTAGGTAATACCTATTCAGCTTTATGTCTCTTGCTTGTAGATAAATGAGTTGCCGAGCGAATGAAGTAAACACCAGCGATCTATTATGTAGCTTGTAAATATTATGTTGACACTTTGTCTCCAAAACTTTGCTCCGTCAGTTTGCATTTACAGCCATTATTTATAGACTCTGTCACCGAGAGTCATGTCATTTATCCACCTGCCATACCATTATGCGCGCCTTCTTTCAGAGATTGCTTTTTTTTTTCAATTTTCAGATTCGGTGCAAAACAAACCCATCAGAATTATACACGCTAGTAGCCGAATAAGTATATTTGTATATTTTCGTGACACGATCAATTCAAATCATAAGTTTAATAATTAAATCTGTTAGTAGGGATGATAAAAAATTAATTTGGTCAAGTATAAATAAAGTGCGCTTCTCTGAACATTAGGAAAAAGAAGAGATGTGGATTTATATTTTTTGAGAAAAGAACGTTAATATTTGCGCGTATTTGGAAGGAATAGTAACATGTATTTGGCATAATAAATACCGATGTCTACAAAAAATAATCTTCTTTCAGCAGTTTATCCTTACTCCATCACCGGCTATTTTGAGTGCAGATATACACAAGAAATTTATGGAAGCATTTACTGAATCGCAATAAGATATGACGCATCTTATTCCTCTGTGAGAAGGTGCTTGTTCAGGCAAACTTGTTTGATGAAATTGAAATCTATCTTTCGCTCCTCCTTGTTTGTTACATTGTTCAGGTGCAATTCGATTTCACAAATTAATACTTATAATTTGAGCAATATAATAGTATTTGAGATAGCAAACTTGCCTGTTCTTCACGGATGCTATGATGGGTTTCGGTGCAAAGACTCGGCTGCTTTTAGTTCACTTCTGCTCTACGTAGGCAATTGTGAAATAATTTAATTAATATGGAATCGAGAACGGTGGAAAAGTCAATATGCCAACTATCTTTTGTTAGCATGAGGTCATATCACAAAATATTCTCACGTATCTTAAAGAGGATTGCCTAACGCCCACTCCTTAGAAACTAGAAACGTTATTCCGATAAAAAAAAACAAAAACAAACGTTTCCAAGAGGAACTTAAAAGCATTATTAATAAAACATCCTATCAAATTGACTCACTCTTTCTATTTCACATATACTTTATTGATTTTTTCATTACCAGAAATTAAAATGAATATTCCGGCTAAACAAAACTGCTAATGGTCCCCTCATTTCAGCTTTCAACGTCATTGATAAGTGAAGTTATGTTACGAAAAAGCTTATGTTTTTCCCTCACAGGGCTTCAAGAACCTTCAAATTTTTGTTCTTTTGTATTGCTTGGGATGACCGCATAAAAATTATTCATTCATCAATTCTCTGTCATACTTTAGTCGGTTTGTATCTATTTCAGCATAATTGACTTCATCCTTTTAAGATTGATGGGAAGAGATAAGCCGATCTCCTCATAGTCAGGTATACAAATCATTTTCAAGTACTCGCAATTGATTGAACTCCAAATCGTCCCCTTATGAAATGTCTCCGCTAAGAAACTTTGCAAGAGCAAATTCCCGCTTCACGTTTGGAACCAATATGTATTTTGCTTTATAACATAGCGCGCGTGCTTGCCCCATATAAGTCCTATTGAGCCACTATGAACAAAATCTTTATTTATGCACGTCCGTGTGAGCATTTTTTTTTTACCTGGCTTTAGAGTTCGTTTGGCTTTGATTTCCTCCATTTTCCCTGTAAATTTTGAGCTTTTCATTCACAGTTATCGTTTAATTGGGTCAAATGTTCCAGCTGAAACCAAAGTATAGAATACTTTTTTGTGCGTTTTAGGAGAATTTTGCACTCTATCACAATAAAAGGCTTCTTCGCGCAGATCCTTGTTGTCGCTCTGTTATAAAAGAATTTGCTCATGCTTTTAGCTGTGCGTATATCGAGTTATGGATGCACTTGAGAAGTTTGGAGAGCACTCAAAAAGCTAGAGTTGCCCTCGGCTGCGCCTCGAGCTACTCTTAGGCATTTTTCGTGCTCTCCAAACTTTCCGCGTGCATCCATAACTAGATATACGCAT